AGTATTTAAACCTGCCACTTTAATTTTGAAAAATGTTGATAGACGTTATACTGGTGAATATGACTTTCGTTTTTATTCACATGAGCATTTTCATCGGAGGAAATTCAAAGTGTATATTGTCAGTAAGTTTTCATTTTATTTTTTTGTTTTAATTTTTTGACTAGTTTCTATTATATTTAATAGATTTTTTTCGTAATATTATAACGTTCTTTAAAATATATATGATAATTACAATGCAGATTATTACATGTTACTATTTTAACTCTTGGTGCACGGTGTTGCAAATGAAATGTGTAACAATGACAAATTAAGCCACATGAAAATGAAAAGACACAAAAGTCCGATCCTTAAGAATTAAGATGTTAACATTTTCCATCTGTTCAGTGAGTTGACTAATTGAGTGCAAGGAAATAATTTTCTTTGTTTTTAGCTAAACCAACAGTGATTTTGAGCTGTCCGCTTTCACTTGTTGTGAATGAAGGTGACAATGTTTCGTGTGTATGTACAGAAAAAGGAGGTAGCCCTCCTTCTAATGTAACATGGTTCGATGAAAATAACATTCCTGTCAAAGGTTGGAATGTAGGGAAAATAAACTGATGATAGAAAATATAACTTTGAGTCAAGGTGGAACTTACAGATGTATTGCTGAAAGTTATCCTTCTAAGAACTATAAAGATGAAAATCTGTGGAAATCAAAGTCAATTGTAAGAAAAAAAACTTTTGTAATTTGTGTGGTATTCTTAATCTCAATTTTTCTTAATCAAAACAAAACGGTCCTACGCCAAACGTTCATTTCGTTACATTTTCTACACGAATTTTTGAGGTATTACTTTGTGTAACAAACTGTTTAACTCTATGTAATAATATGTTAATATCAAAATTTATTTTTGAACTTTTCTTTGAATTATTAGAGTTTGTTCAATTCAATCATCAAATGCTCAATCAAAATGCTCCAATCTTGTTATCATATGTATATTATTAGTATTGTATACAATAGACTCTTTTGATTTTTTCCATATTTTTTAAGTTCTATGTTTCTTCTAGACAACGTCTTTGTGATGACCAAAAGAGAGAATAAACAGCAGCAAAACAGAATGGTACATTATTTTAATAACTTTAACATCTGGAATTATCGTTGGAATTTTTTTTATTTTAATTGTTTTTTCAATATCGTCGACATTCGTTTTGTAAACATTGTCAACAATTTCAATCTCCATCTGAAGTTAGATAAATTCTGTTGATACAACTTATCAAGAATTGGATTTATCAAAATGAATAAAGAAGATAATTATCAATCATTGAGACCAAAGGATGACACAGTTGATAAAACTTATCAAGAACTGGACATATCGAAAATGAATATAGAAGATAATAATTATGAATCTTTGCAAAAATAATGAATCGGAGTACGAGATAGCCGACGAAAAGAAGAATTTATGAGAACAGTAATTTGTTTTCAAGAAAATCATAAATTTATTCTAAATTTTCCATGTTGTAAAGTCACAATGGCGCGTTTACAAACATTTACATTTTCTGATAAGATTTGAATTTTGCATCTTTTCCTCCCTTTGGAGCTGCCAATACTTAATGATTTCCAGAAGGAAGGCATTTTTGGATGGGAAAATACACTGGTCATTCTGACTCATTCATTAGTTGTTTTTGATAATAGTGTAAGGTAATACTGTTTTTGAATAAGTATTTTCTACTTATCTTACAATACACCTGCCTTCCTGACTTGTTTCCTGTGTATACCGAATTGTTTAGAACAGGATCACGAAAAGGCTCTGAAAAAGCACGAAATCGTATTCCTGATGAACCGAAATCGTAAATTTCAAAATTTGTTTTTGATTAGGGAATGCCTTGAGACCCATCTAGTTAAGAGATGACCATAGTTGGATAGTTAAGAACACCTTTAGTGATGTACTATGGAGCCCCAATCGTAACAAAAATTATTTACAGTTTATATGGTTTCATTTTTAATACAGGATTAGTGGGGTGCTCGACAACACAGAGAGAGCCTCAAGAATACGGGGACCTTTAGAAAATTTACCGTCTTAATACTTGAAATATAAACAAATGTACTGGAGAATCCCAACTGTTTAATATCGCAATGCTCCAGACATATAAAAACCTCGATCATTCGGGAGCAACAATAAAACTGTTAACGTTTTGATATTTCATTTTCAATCTGAATGCTAAAACAACAAGAGCAATAACTTTAACTTTATAATACATTTACATTCAAAGGCCTAAAGATGTTTTTCTTTGATATCGTAGTCAGCAGTTACTAAGTAATGGAGCACCGCCGGTAAAGAACATACGCTGTATTTAGGGTTATATTGTTTGTGAATGATATTTTATTTTATGAAAATCTTTTGTTTTGTCTTCTGTGTACTAGTTACAATGGGAATAGTTTTACAGACATTAACTGCAGTCAATAGTTATGAACAAATAACCAAAAAGGTATTTATCACAAATTCACAACATCGAAAGTCAACAAGAAAGATTTTTAGTGGTCTTGAATTAAATGTGAATTAAATGTATCATGACGATGAACAAGAAAATAAATATTTGCACACCATGAGACCTTGAAACCTTTTGAAAAGAAAGTTACCTGTTGTTGATGAAAATAGGAGCAATTTTTCTCACGTTGAAGATAAAGTGATGAACTGAATCATGTAACTTCCGTTAAGAAAGATGAATTAAGCAATTCATTCATTCAAACTTATACTTTCATTTATATGAACATGTCACTGAATTTCGTATGGATTAATCAATATTTTTTTACTAGAGGTGTATAATGATGGGAAAGACGTTAATATTTCCGTATATATAGAACGAAAAGTGTACAGCCGTTTCATCAATTGCAGAAATGTTTGGTATTTGTGACCAATAACAAAAACTTCAATTCTGTACATCTATGTTTTTTCCACAAATGATTTAATTTTGGTGTAGCAATATGCAATTGATAATTTTAGGTTCAATAATATCTCCACCTGGATGGTGAAAAATTTGTATTTTACCTGATCTTCACAATATAACTTGGAGATTTGATGTTACCTCATCCATAATTGCGCGTGTTTGGTCCTTTATCCTCGTGATGCTTATGCTGCGCAACGACTTGTAACGATTGTCGCAGAATTCACTGAGTTCGTCCAGAAAATTGATCTGCACTCTGATTCGGTTTGTTTTATGGAGTTTATTAGCAATGAACAATCTACACAATCTCTTGACTATTACAAATTTGAGTCTATTTATATGTTTACATTTCGTGACTTACGTGCACTACTACAACATGAATTAATTAGAGAGAAAATACTTAGAAGTGTTGTATATACACCCTAATTTTAATTATAATTTTGGCACACATAAAACTCTGCATGGGAACTTATAAAATCTGGCATGCAATAAAAAATATAAATGAAATATCCTAAATTATACAACACTCTCCCCCCCTTGACTCACTCAGGAGTCAAGCATCGCCTAACCTTCCACCTGGCGTCCAAAGCCGCCTTTCTCTTAGTCTTCTCCTTACATCCGCTAACTATATCCTCCTTAACAACCCTTCAACCTTACTCGTCTTTAACCTCAACTGGATATAAATGCTGAATCGCTCTATTCAACACCTGGCGACGACCGTTTGTCATCACGCAAACCTTGCACCACGAACGACCTTATCCTTGCCACAAATCAATTCCTGAATCACACCTGTCTTCCACTTTCTTACCCTGCTCAAACACAATGACCACATCCCCTGGCTTAATTATCGCCGACTGTTTGTCTGCCATCCCAACCAAATGAAATTCCCGAAGATTCGTGAGATACTCCCGTTCCCACCTGCTCCAAAAATGCTCCAGTATGGTACTTAAATGTTTGAATCGTGTCCTAGTGTTTGTTCTAGTCGAATCTTGTCCTAAATCATTAATTTTTGAGTCCTTGCTATCGGGTAATGTCACGATGCGCCTAACATAGACTAAATGTGCAGGAGTAAGTACTTCACTATTCACTTCCTCGTACTCATACGTTAAGGGTCTAGAATTCAATTTAGCTTCAACTTCAGCTAGAACAGTTGTCAGTTCGTCGAAAGTAAGTTTTGCATTGCCCAAAACTTTCCTTAAACAGACTTTCACTAGCCCTATCATCCTTTCGAAAACCCTCCCCACCATGGGGCCCTCTAGGTTAAATCGCCACTCAATGTTCTTAGCGCTAAGGCAATTATCTACTTCTTCGCATTGAAATAAGTCGCGCAACGTCTTTTGCGGCTTTAAATGTTTTGGCGTTGTCAGAAACAATAAGTTTCGGTGTTCCAAACCTTGCAAAAAATCTTCTTAAACAGCGCAGAAATGTCGCTGCACTCAAATCGTGCACTAACTCAAGTGAACCGCGCGTGTCACACAGCAGGTGAACAGCGCAATGTACACCTTGCTCATACTTGCCTTTGTTTTACGTACAAAGGTCCTGCAAAATCTACGCCTGAATTTTCAAATGGTGCGGCTCTCCTAACCCTAAACTCTGGTAACGCTGCTTGCTTTATTTGTGTACACGGCTTACTGTTCCATCGTTTACAAGCTACACATCCACCGCTCACTCTCTTAACTTCCTGTCTGCCCTTGGGTACCCAATACTTCGACCTCAGTTGCGCCAACGTGCTCCGAACTCCCCCATGCATAACAGATTCATGACACTGCCTAATCACTAGCTCTGTGAAATACTGTCTCCTAGGCAAAACAATCGGCTCTCTAGCTTCTGCCTCCAAATCTGATTCACCCAATCTTCCCGTACAATGCAGTATCCCGTTCATTTCTATCAGTCCGTACTGTCTTTCTAACTGCTTAAACTCGGGTTGCTCTCGTAACTCTAGCTGGGCTGACTTTATCCACTCGCATTCTCCATCATTCATTTCGCTCGCTAAAAATTTCTAATCCTAGTCTTTTTGTTTCAAATTATAGACGAATCTCTTCACCCACGCAGTAACTCTTAACAGCCGTGTAAGTGTGTATTTATTTACTTATGCTAATGACATTGCCAATTCCAAACAATGACCTTGCGCTTATGATTAGGTTAACAACAAATGACCTTTTCTCTTCAACCTTGCTGTCTACTGTGGGAACTATCTCCTTCACCATAGGATAATGCCTTGGACTACCCCGCAACCAAGACGGTCCTGACCACCAAACCTCCGCGTTCTTTAACTCAGTCATCAAGACCCCTCGCGACCCTAAATCTGCGGGGTTTTCCTTACCTGGATAATGACTCCACTCTGTTTTTGAGCTAAGCCTTAATATTTCGTCAACTCTATGCTGAACAAATTGCTTCCAATTGCCTGAGTTGACTATCCAATACAAAACAGTCATACTATCAGTCCAATACTTAACGCCCTCAAAATTATACTCTGACTCTAACGCTTTCCTGACTGCAGACATTAAATGAGCCAATATTCTAGCTGCCATTAATTCTAACCGCGGAATACTAAGTTCTTTCATCGGGACTACTCTTGTTTTGCTGGCAATCAACTTAACACAAACATCGTTACCGTTCAAAACTACTAGATACACAACCGCACAATAAGCTCGCTTTGACGCATCCCCAAATCCATGCAAAAAATATCTCTGCTTTGATTCTGAGCCAGATGTGTCAGTCACGCCGCTCGAGTACCTGCCTATTGAAACACTCTTTACCTCCTTTAGATCTCTCAACCACTTCTCCCACTTCTTTCACACTTTTAGGCAATGTATCGTCCCAATCCACGCCACTGTAACAAATATCTTGAAAGAGAATTTTAGCTTTAACAATCGTAGGACTCAAGAGCCCTAATGGATCGAAGATACAAGCTAACAGACTCAACACATCTTCGTCGGTTCCGTGTTTTCCGCTTTCGCACTCAAATTTCGAAATCGAATATTATTACGTCCCCGACGCTATCCCATTCCAACCCTAATACTTTACCAAATTGACCCTGTACTTGAGCAAGCGTGGTTTTCGCATACGTTTGCTCATCAACGCAACTACTTTCCACGTCACGCACATCTTCTTCAATTTGCGATCTTAACGCACTATCATTAGTCCGCCATTTGCGTAACTTAAATCCGCCTTCATTCATGCGTTCGTTGGCCTTACGATATAGCTGATACGCTCGCTCTGTACTAGATTCACCGCTGGCAAGATCGTCCACGTAAAAGCTTTTAGCAGTTTTTCTGAAAATTCCTATCGCACTGTAAATATTTGCTAATATGATGCCTTAACGTCGAATTAAGCAAAATGGTGACGAATTCACCCCAAATACGACTCTACAAAACGGTAAACTACAAGATTCAAATTGTTGCGCAGTACATCATCTACCCACAAAAACCTTAGGCTATCTCGATCCCTTTCGTGCACTTCAATGTTTAGGAAGGCCTTCTCTATGTCCGCTATTAGCGCTATTCTTTGCTCACGGAACCTAAGCAGAATATCAAACAAAAGTGGATTAAGTGAAGGTCCGATATGCAAACAATCATTCAAAGAGACACTTGACTTGAGTACTTTAGCGCTTGCGTCATAAACCACTCTAACCTTTGTCGTCTTGGCATCCTTTCGCACGACAGCTTGATGAGGCATGTAATGTATTTTGGCATGAGAATTAATCACACTATCTTTTCCTACCCTCTCTATGATGCCTAACTCTTCTTGGGCCTTAATGATAGTGTCATATTCCTTCAGTAATTCTGGGTTCTTACCTAGTCGTCTGATTTGTCCCTTCATTCTCTTAAGACTTAAGTCATAGTTAGTAGGTAAAGGATCGTGACCTCCCTCCAGGGCAACCCCACTGAATAACGCGTACCGTCAAAACCAAGATCGTTTATGACCGATTCATGCACATCACTTACTTTGTCCTTAATTCCTAGGCTTTCTAAATCCCAAAAGTTTTCTACGTTGATACAAGTTTTATTAGCGAGCAAAATTTACCTGAGCAGTGGCGGGTTGATTCTTATCCGTGTTTCCAACCGGCCCTGAAACTACCCATCCAAGCACCGTCTCGATAGCCACAGGCTCCCCCTGCTTCCCTCGCATAATACGACCTTTCTGCAACGACCACAAGTAATCCGCACCCACGAGTACGTTTACCTCCAATTCCTCATTCACCTTACAAACATCAGACAACCACAACCCCTTCAAATGTTCAAAGTTATTTCGAACCACCTCCAAATGTTGATTACTAATTACTGATATTTCTGGTACAACATATGCCTCGATAGATACGACTTCACCACCCGACAACGAACTCCAATCGCACAACCCTTCTCAACTCGTTCTCTAAAGCCCTTTTCCCAAACGTTCCTATTCTCAGATTTTCTTCACGAACGACTTTACATCCCAACGCTTTAGCCGTCCTTTCAGTAACAAATGATCTCTGACTCCCAGAATCCAACAAACCCTTACTCGTCCCGACTTACTACCAACCAGTTTTGCTTGTGCAGTTTGCAAGGCAACATTGCATCCTGCTTTTCACAACTATTCTTAGGACTTACAAATAGAGTATTACTACTATTGGCATCTACATTCTCAACCTCCCTTTGTCCAACAGTTCCCTGGGGCTTACTTTCCGAATCACACAGAGCCTTGTGGTGATTCTTCTTACATATACTACATTTAATATTGTTGTCACAGTCACGAGCCTTGTGGCCCTTTTCCAAACAAATATAACAACGACCGTATTTCTAATAATATTCTTACGTTCCTCAATTGACTTGATCTTCTCACATTCTTCATGCCGATGACATCCCAGGCAGAATGCGCAACGAACCGGTCCCGATTTTGTCAGGAGGGCGCTTGCTGTTTTCGTATCGTTCCGCCTGGCTCCATTTGATGACTTATCAGGATCACCATGCCGTTCTCGTTGCTCTCTCTGAACTCGATGCTCTTCTCGCAGCTCAACTTCGCACTTTAACGCTCTTAACATATCGTCCATATCCCACTGATGGAAGTTTCGCTTCGTGATCAACAATCGAATCGATTCCGGTATCAAGTTCAAACGTAAGGTACCACGATTGATGAATACGTAGCGCTGTCCACTCCCAATGCATCCAAGCCTCGATGATGTGCTTCGACACTGTAAGAAAGATCAGAGTAGTAATTATAAATGCATAATAGAAGAAAACATGTCAATCAAAATGTCAGTAAAATATACATATCGATGGCGAACAATCTTGTTTCTATTTCGTACAAAGATTTATATTCCGAATGATCATTAAATGGCGCCCAACGTGGGGCCGGTAGTAAGTATACGACGGTATTCTAGAACAGCTTCATTCGAAAACCAAGAAATGTCGAAGGATAATATTGAACGACTTCGCGCCAAACGAGGCGGTTATCGTGGCGTTTGTACAAGGCTTGTAAAGAAGCACTCGAGCTTCTGGATGCCACTGAAGTAGACATCGAACGATGTAATGTCATCGCTGAACAACTTGAGTGTAAGATGAAGATCTTAGACGAAATAAACGACGAAATCATTGGGATATGCGATGTAACGGATATTGAACACGAAATTGAAGAAGCAGCCGCCGTCTCGGATAGAATTCTAAGCACCAGACGTAAAATCGAAGGAGCAAGAAAACCGGAGATTTGTCAAGAAACTATAAAAAGAAGGCAAAGTCCTACACCACAAGTCGAACAGATTCCTTTAGTGGTAGCAACAGCAAGCACGAGTAACACAACGATAAGCAACGATGAGAATAATACGTACGCGGATGCTGTTAATACGAACACGAATGCGGTGAACACGAATACGAATGCGGTTAACACGAATACGAATGCGGTTAATACGAACACGAATACGGTCTATACGAACACGAATGCTATTGATACGATTACGAATGAAGTGATAAATGCGAATTCTACGATTTTGAATGCCCCTGTCAGAACAACACCAGCGATAATGATGCCAAAGCTTCCCAAACTTCAATTGCCAAAATTCAGTGGAAAGATCACAGAATGGAACGCCTTTGGGACTTATACAATGCTACGATTCACAGCAACGAGAGTATGTCTAAGGTAAACAAATTCAATTATCTATTCTCATTGCTTGAGGGTAGTGCAGCACGTTCGATAAGGGACTTACCTTAACATCCGCAAATTATGACGCAGCAATTGCGATTCTGCAAGATAGATTTGGTCGAACCCAACAGGTCATTGCCGCACATATGGATCAAATCCTACAAATATCTGCATGTTCTGAAAATCGTACTGGGCAATTGAGATATGTTTTCGATCAAATAAGTGTTCAAGTGCGAGGACTTGATTCGCTTGGGGTATCTGCAAACCAGTACGGCAGTCTGCTCATACCAATTATTATGTCCAAACTACCGAGTGAAATAAGATTGCAGGTAGCACGAAAAGCTACTGGTGATGTTTGGCAAATTGAAGAGTTACTCAAAACCATAAAGTTTGAAGTTGAGGCACGTGAAATGAGCGAGTCATCGCGTTCAATTGAGAAACCCCAGAACAAAGATAAGCCCAACAAGCCATCGACAGCTGGAACATTTGTAGTGACGAAAATGATAAAGACGGTGCCCATAGCTTCAAGGTTAAATGCGTATACTGTCAAGGATCACATTATTCAGCATCTTGTGAAGAGGTAAAGGAAGGGAAGCCCGAGTTAAAATTCTAAGGACTCCAACCGTTGCTTTATTTGTCAAAAAGGGACACCAAGCAAACAAGTGTATAGTCACAAGAAAATGTCGACATTGTTCCGGGAGGCATCACCAATCTATTTGCAGCTATCCTGCTACCAACAGTCAGGGTGTCCAAAATGAAAAAGCAATTGATAACACCTATCCACAGAAAGTATCAGAAGGTGTAAACTCTCCAACCACAACAGCTGTCACACGAACTGTCAAGGGAAGTGTTCTTTTGCAGACAGCCAGAGCTCTCGTATCAAACGGATCAAAATCGGTTCCAGCACGAATTCTCTTTGACACTGGAAGCCAAAGGTCTTACATTCGAAGGTCACTTCAAGGCCGGTTAAGGTTAAATTCAATTGGTAAGGAGACACTTCAATTAAATACCTTTGGCCAAAGCAAGAGTAAACGAGAAAGCTGCGAAGTGTTCAAGGTGAGCATTGCAAACAAGAGTGGAGGTGAGGTAGTAGAGATTAAAGCAATCGCATTTCCAACAATATGTGCACCACTTCCTACAAGGATAAATATAGACGATTATCCACATCTCCATGGTTTAGAACTTGCAGACTTTGATTCTTCCGATAACAATGGTAGCTGTGATTCAATCGACATCTTGATAGGAGCTGATCATTATTGGGACGTAGTCACAGGTGATGTCGTACGAGGAGAAAATGGTCCAACAGCGATGAGCAGCAAATTGGGATGGCTTTTGTCTGGATGGTCATCACAAAAATCAGACGAACATACTCTGAACAGCCTCATTTTAGCAGCCGACTGCCTTGATAATTCTACTGTCGTAACCGATAGGGATGAGCTAACAATATCATTGAAGCGTTTTGGGAAACTGAGAACGTTGGCATTGACCTTTGACTCAGAGAACTCAACCGAGGAACAAGATTTTGTGCGAAATATTCAATTCACTGGAACACGCTACGAAGTTGGTCTGCCGTGGAAAAATGATCATGTGCAAATTGATGACGATTACGAACTCTGTCATAATAGATTGAGATCATTGCATCGAAAACTGCTAAAGGATCCACAAAATCTTGAAGAATACAATAATGGTATTACTGAACAATTGGCAGCAGGAATAGTCGAAAGGGTTCCGGCATCTGATAAGGATTGTGGTAAAATTCACTATCTTCCCATCATTGTGTCATACGAAAGGATAAGGTTACTACGAAGCTACGCGTTGTATATGATGGATCTGCTACGACGAACTTGCGCAAATTTTCACTAAACGATTGCTTACTGACCGGGCCGAACCTCATTCCACAAATCTTTGATTTGCTCGTCAAATTTCGACAAAACAAGATTGGGCTAGTTGCTGACATTGAGAAGGCATTCTTAATGATTGGAATTGACAAGGAAGATAGAGACATGCTTCGTTTTTTGTGGCTAAGGGATGCTAGGGATCCTCATTCAGAAGTATTAAAGCTAAGGTTTTGTCGATTGGTTTTTGGTCTACGACCTTCGCCAGCAATTCTAGGAGCTACTATCAACCATCATTTGAAGACACACGAGAAGCAGGAGCCAGAAACTGTTGAACACTTGAAAAATTCTCTGTATGTCGATGATTTTGTGTCCGGTGCTGAAACCGATGAAACCGCTTTGCAAATATACAAAGGAACAAAGCAGTTGATGGCCAAGGGTGGATTCAACTTGCGAAAATGGAACTCGAATTCCAGTAACGTAGTGAAGTCTATCGAAGCGTTAGAAGGTAAAAGAATTTGAGCTTGATTAGTGACAAATCAAGCGTTACTCAAGATGATCAGTCCTTTACAAAGTCGACAATTGCAAAGAGTCACTGCTCACGGAACCCACTCAAGTCAAAGTACTAGGAATGGTGTGGGATACGGTGGAGGACACATTTCTATTCAATTTGACTGAAATAATCGAGTACGCCAATTCTTTACCTGTCACAAAGCGATCGTTGTTGAAATGGTCATCTAAAATCTTCGATCCCCTTGGATTCTTGTCTCTTTTACGATAAGGCTCAAGATTCTGTTTCAAATCATGTGCTTGGATAGATTGGGATGGGACTGTGAACTGCATGGCAATCTACGTGAACAGTGGAACGTTTATTGTCAGAGTTAAAGTTTCTAAATGATGTTCGTGTACCGAGGTGCTATTATCTACTCCAACCGAAATACCTTACTACACAAGTTCATGGATTCAGTGATGCATCTGAAAGTGCAATTGGTGCTGTTGTCTATGTAAGAACAGTCTATGAGAATGGTACCATCGACGTGAAATTAATCGCTTCAAAGACAAAGGTCGCACCAGTGAAAAGCAAACGATTCCCCGTTTAGAGCTGGTGGCAGCGACTGTACTAGCGAAGTTAGTAGAGTCTTTGTTAAAGGCACTCAAGTGGAGTCTGGAAGTTTTTTATTGGGTTGATTCGATGACAGCACTCCACTGGATACGAAACGATCGAGCATGGAAACCATTCGTGCAGCATCGAGTGAACAAGATTCGAAGTATTTCGTTGACGGAATCTTGGAACTTTTGTCCTGGATCACTTAATCCTGCAGATTTACCCTCACGAGGTATTTCTGGGCAACTACTTTCGAATTCTTCCTTATGGTTCAATGGACCCAAATTCTTGGCAAGGGCGAAGAAGAGTGGCCAAAACGTCCAGTTGGCAACCTCTCACAAAGTGACGAAGTTCTGAGGGAAATTGTGAAAGAGCATCCGAATGTCGTAAGATCACTAGTTTCGAATGAAATCGAACAACGAGCCATGCCAGATCTTAACAAAGCAATCGACATTACTCGTTATAGCTCCATGAAGAAACTTCTTCGAACAACTGCTTATGTAATGAGATTCATCAACATATTAAAGAAGATGCCACGGTGCGAGCGAACAACAAACAAACTCACAACCTCAGAAGAACTAAGCTCAGACGAAATAAGGAAGGCGCAGCTGCTGTGGATAAGGTCTATTCAACAACTATCCTTTGAAAAGGAAATACTATTCCTTTGTCAAAGAATATGAATTCTTCAATACCCATTTACGTTAAACAATTTGGGCTATTTCTCGACGGTGATCACGTGCTGCGGTGCCGTGGGAGACTGAAGAATTCATTGCTGAATCTGGAGAGCAAAAATCCTGTATTGCTTCCAAAGGAATCAAGATTTGTGGAGTTATTAATATGCGAGGTTCACCACAATGTGAAGCACAGCGGGATTCGTGATACACTAACAACCATTAGAGAGCATTTTTGGATAATCCGTGGTCGAGAAGCAGTAAAGAAAATAGTCAGGAAATGTGTCGTTTGTCGTAAAGCCGAAGGTCTTCCTTATGGGGGAACGCCTCCTCCAGATCTTCCTGTTAGCAGAGTGTCGGATGATCCCCCTTTCACAAACGTAGGTTTGGACTTTGCCGGACCTTTGTTAGTACGAGAGAGTTGTGAAAGGAATAATTTGTCGGATAATCCAACAAAAGTGTATATTCTATTGTTTACGTGCGTCTACTAGAGCCATTCATCTGGAGCTCACCTTCCTTAAGCGTTCCAGCCTTTCTCCGCGCGTTCCGCAGATACGCTAGTCGACGAGCACTGCCAGCTCTTCTTATATCCGATAATGCTAAGACTTTCCGAGCTGCATGCTTAGAAATTCGCAAGTTATGTCGTTCTGAGGAAGTGTTACGCTATCTTGCAAACCATCAGATTACATGGCAATTTATCGTCGAAAAGGCCCTTGGTGGGAGGCTTTTGGGAACGTTTGATTCGAAGCGTGAAACGTCCGTTGCGAAAGGTAGTTGGTAGAACCAATCTAACCTACGACGAGTTGCATACTATTGTGGTTGAAATCGAGGGCGTAATAAATGCACGACCCCTAACCTACGTGTACGACGATGAAGAAGCTGTATCTCTTCCGCTAAGCCCGTCGCACTTGGTGTATGGAAGACGAATAACGACCATGCCAAACAGTGAGCACTTTGAAATTCAGAGCACTTATCAATCTTTGACGAGAAAGGCGAAACATCACAAAATTTACTGCAACGTTTTACTCTTCAATGGAGAAACGAGTATCTTTTAGCCTTACGAGAGCAATACACTTCAAAATCAAGAGGTAATCAAAATCCCGAAATAGCAGTTGGAGATATCGTCATTATTCGCAACGATCAAACAAAACGTATCTTTGGAAGGTGGCGAAGGTTGAACAATTGTTACAAGGTGGCGATGGAATTACACGAGCTGCACAAGTCAGAGTCCTTCGTGGAGACTCTAGTCATTCACACTTGTTGCGGCGTTCTATCAGGCAACTTATTCCAATTGAGGTTCATCAGGAAGAAGACATTAACGAAAGAGTAGAAAACGATAAGAAAGGCGAAAAGGAACAAGTCCTTCGTCCAACTGATCGACCACAACGCAGCGCGGGAATAACAGGACAATTGCGAAGATTGCAGAATACAAACAAGTTCTAAATAACTGTACATTCTTAGCAAAAAATAGTTTTGTTTTTTTTTGTTTTGTTTGTTGACAACATTTTATTATGTCAACCCTGGGGAGTGTAAGAAAGATCAGAGTAGTAATTATAAATGCATAATAGAAGAAAAACATGTCAATCAAAATGTCAGTAAAATATACATATCGATGGCGAACAATCTTGTTTCTATTTCGTACAAAGATTTATATTCCGAATGATCATTAAAGACACTATCACACAAGTGACGAAGAGACGTAATATCTCTCGGATCTTTCACTCTATCTAAGTTCAAAAGTTTTTGCATGTGCGCTCGTTGGACCGATTCTGGCTTCCCATAGCGTTCCTTCAACGCGTCTATTGCAGCGTTGTAGTTCGCCGAAGTCAAAGAATATCCCGCGATACATGACTTCGCTGGTTCGCCTAAGAGTCCCCGAAGATAATTGAATTTGTCAACGTCGGACAAACTTCCATTTCCGTGAATGGCGCTTTCGAAGGAATCCCAAAACTCCTGCCATTCGCAAACATTTCCATTGAACCGTTTAACGTGCAGCTTTGGCAATTTTGCGCAAACTGTTCTATTGGTCACCGACGCTCCTCCGTCAGACCTTAACGAACTGTTCATTCTATTTTCCAGCGCAATTGCTGTCAATCTTTTGGCGAAGCTTCCTCGCCATCGACTTTGCTTCAGAACTTATTCTTCCAGCTTCCTCGACTTCGCTGACAATGTCAAGTTATGACGCTTCTTCGTCCCCAGCATCAAGTTAAGGATGTCTTCATCCAGTTTTTGAAGCATAGCGACTGTCTCCAAGATTTTGTCGCGTTGCTGTTCCGCGTCATTCTTCTTCGTTCATCGAATGCGTCGATTCAAGCCTGCTGCCGACGCCACAACTTTCGTCAGGTAACCACGATGACCTGCTCGTACTTTTCTTTCTTGCTAACTCCTCCATACTATCCGGCTCGAAGGACCACTTGTCGCAGAATTCACTGAGTTCGTCCAGAAAATTGATCTGCACTCTGATTCGGTTTGTTTTATGGAGTTTATTAGCAATGAACAATCTACACAATCTCTCCGACTATTACAAATTTGAGTCTATTTATATGTCTACATTTCGTGACTTACGTGCACTATTACAACATGAATTAATTAAGAGAGAAAATACTTAGGAAGTGTTAAGTATATACACCCTAATTTTTAATTATAATTTTAGCACACATAAAACTCTGCATGGGAACTTATAAAATCTGGCATGCAATAAAAAATATAAATGAAATATCCTAAATTATACAACAACTTCTTTGTACACAGTCCTTGAACGTCTTTTCACAACTCTGTGTCCAAGTTTAATTCGTCTGGGTTGCTACAATTAAAATAATGATTATGCATAACAAGCACTAAAGAGCAGCTGGCTCAAATATGTTAAAAATCTCAAAAAAACTTTATCCAAAAACTCAAAAAAGTCAAAAACATAGAAATAAAACTTACAACTAAGCCAAAATGCTCCTCAAAATAAGCATTCTGTTTATACTTTGTGGAAATATGTTTGAATGGATTTGAGATACATGACCTTTATCAAATAATTCATCAAGACCTGGCACATCATTATAGTTTAATCCAGCTTTCTAAGCAATTTTGCAAACCGTGTTTAATTGCTTTGACTGTTCCTCGGACAAGTTCAGTGGAATCTTCTACAATGTTATCCACACATTTTTGTGTGAGCAGATTGATTTCTTTTGTTTTCAGAAGAAATTGAGCATTTTTGTGTTCCATTGCTTGAACAGAGTTATCATGTTTATTTTCCCTGTTGAATTCATCAATTAAGAGTTCAAGGCCATCCTCATCAGGACAAAAATTGTTGAGTGCTACTCGCTGATTCAACGCAACATAGATCACGTGAGTTTAAGTCAACATTGGCGTGCTTTCTTCTAAGATGACTTTTGTAAGAGTTAACCTAAACAACAAATCCGTGAGCGCACTGAGTAAGTAAATATTTTTAACAAATAACAAACAAATCAGTGTCGTATCAAGAATCAAAAGTTTACCTTAGGGAAGGTTGAATTACATTCCGGCACTTCGCAGAAATATGCAATCTGGCATCGTGTTCATGAACAGCGACCAAATGATGCAACATTCCAGCGACAGACGTTGAAAAAAACGTTGCACATACCTGACAACACAATCGTGGCATAATTAATTGAATTTTTACGAATATTCTTGCGTCACTAGTCAAGTGACAACTCCGTTATCGTTTGTTAGAGCAATGAATGAGTAAAATCAGATCAATATTAAGTGTCATTAAGTGCATTTCTTTGTCCAATTAGATGCGAACTTGCGGCGATTGGTCGATTTGGCCACTTGACATCCCATTACGCAAAGGGGCACGTGTCTGACTGCCTGTTGCCGATGTATGTAGTCGCCATTGAGCTCTAAAAGACCTGGAGGGGCAAAGGGCCTGGACCCCGTGGTCAAAAACATGGCGGTAATGGCGGATTTGGGTTGTCAAAACTTCCACTTTGAGAAAAATTTTTAACATTCGCTCCCTCCCGAAACGGATCTCTATTACTGCTCATAGTAATGACAACCAGCGAAAACAACCACGATACCGTAAGCATAAAATATCGAAAATAATGCTTCAGATTTTTGTGAAATAGACACACATTTAAATGAAGTAAATCTACTGTAAAATAGCGTATATGTTTTCAAGTAATGCTTTAGCCATATTAGAAATAAATATCAAACTGCATTCTTTACACTGTCAATGTGTTGTTAAGCTTTAATGCATAATCCCATGCGCAATACTTGTGTTTTTGACTGTTTGTGAACAGCTTGGTGCAACTGTCTTTCTTGAATAGATGGGTAAATCTTAGTTAAAATGTCCAAAAAGGAGTTAGAAAAGTTAGCTTACCCCGACGACTTAAGTCGACTGGAAATATATTATAAGTAGGTATGTAATTTTTTGAGTTTTTTTTGGTAGGATTGATTCTGGGTGTCTTATAAAGTATTATGATATTCCGATAAATCTACTGAGAACTTATGAGGAAAATATCTTGAACTAGGAGAGCAAAAGAACGAAATTCAGAAATTCTATAATCATGTTGCTGGTTCTGTTTTGAGCCAAGATATTAGAAACTGGATTGTTATTGACAACCATGGATCTACTACTGAACAGAACTACATTAATTTCCCATTGAAACTACTATTTCTTAAATCAAAGTGCATTGGTTTCTCTGACATAACACTTTTATTGCTGCATGAAGGCAAACCTGTTTAAATAATTATAATGTAGGTGAAGATATTTAGCATGTTGTATAATTGTTATTATACAGACATTATTTATAATATTATGGCTTTGTGTAATGTATGTCAAGAACTTATTAATTCTCAATAATGCTAACCTTCTTGCACTACTTTTCTTTTGTGTCCTTACAAATTACAGTTACCTACACTAATTTTTTCTAGGTTCAAACAACTTGACAAATTTTTGAATTTTACATTATGCCTTTGAATTTTTGTCTTTTGGTAAAATATCAGTGAATGACTTAAAATCAAGTTTATCTAAAATAGTATTTTGTACAAAGTAACTATACATAATTGGAAAAGTCTCATGTTGAAGACAGATGTCGCTTCTTTTACTAGATTGCTACTCTTATTCTTTTAAATGATATCGTAATTGTTCAAAAGACATAAAAAGTTCTTTGCCATCAATTTTTGCTTCTTCCACATTCAACTTCATTGCAACCAATGCATCTTATGTGAATTTTTAATCACCTGGAATTGAAAAACGTATGGATTTTGTCAGATGATGCAGTACTGTATTTAATGTTTCATGCCTGTCATGATAAGCTTTTCTTGAGCAAATATTTCAAGGTAGGAGCAAAATTTGGCACATCATTGAACAAAGTAGTTTTTATCTTGATTTTGATGTACTAACCTGTTTACTACACTGTGTAACAAACAATTCATTTACAGAAACACCAGATGGCATTTATAAAACTTTTAGCATAAAGCAAACCTTTACACACCATCATGCTTGTCCAAATCTGTCAAATTGTCCAGGCTAGCTGTTTAATACAGGTGTTTTTTATTGTACGACATGTACCAAAGAGCTCATTAATTAATCCTGCACTGCATTTGATTTCAATACAGCTCTGTCCTTAATATTTGCTTCATATTTTCAGAAAAATATCATGAAAAAATCCTCCATTTCAACTCAGTTGAAACAAGGAGTTTTAAGATATGCATATCTCGATAAGAATTGGTTGCTTTGTCTAGTCTAGGAAGCGATTAAGTAAAGAACAAATAAGACTGGATAAACAGAACTTAAATTATAACTTAGGAGTAAAAACATTCACAAAATATATACCATCACACTTCAAGTATTGACTTAAAACAAAACACCTAACACTTTAAATAGTAAACAATCTTACGTTGCTTACCGGTGTCATGAAATGTTTCCTTTTCTGGCATTACTTCAGCATCCGTATACCAAACAAGTTTGCAGCATGTTTTAAAGATAAAATTTCTAAAGTTTTTGTGCTTGGCATTGATATTTTATATAATCGCAATTGTGGTTGTCAAATCCGGGTGGGCGAAAAAAATTTCATTTTATGAGCCCGCGTCTTTCCGCTGACTTTGACAACCAAAATCCGCCATGTTTTTGACCACGCGGCCGCGCGCTGATAATTTATAGTAATTTTGTTGACGTTTCCCCTCCAGGTCTTATAGAACTCAATGGTAGTCGCGTGGCGTGTTTCTAAACTTCTTGTGCTTTGTTGAAGTGCATTTTAAGCGTTTAAACTCTTCTATTGTGGGCAAAATGGAAATCAACAAACAATCATCTGTCGCTGACATTCTTTTTTTGTAAAAGAACAAATTGGATGAAATTGTCGAAGATTTTGAAGGTATTGTCTCATCCTGAAATGTCTTGTGCATAAATCTAGTGTAGAAAATAATTCAAAATTACATTTATAGATGACTTGCCTTGTTTACGTTTTACTAGCAGGCAGATTTGGTCGAGCGCTTTTAGAGAATACCAACAGCAATAACGTAATTTCATTGACGTTTTTCTTCTTATATTTTTAAAGCTAATCAAGTCGACGACGAGGATTTTTTCAATTTAGAACCACATGATATTTATCAGATGATTCCTCGAATACTACTTCGCAAGAAATTTACGTGTATTTGGAATGACGTTACTCAAAAGGTAAATTGAAGCCTTACAGGTTTTCTACATAAAATGGTTCAAAATACTTGGTTTGTTATTGGTTTGTTGATTATATTTTTTACTTCCATGTGCTTTGATTGTGTCGTTATAAAATCACCAGAAGTAAAATTTCAGGCTTCATCTATTAACAGGGGGTCATCAGCTTCAACAACACACTCTTGTGTCACTTCGAACAACATCAGAACCATCAACAAGGATGTGAATCCAGACATTCCGAGTAATTCAGCTGATCATCAAGAAAATCATGATGAGGTATCAAGCAACCCAGCTTGACTTGTTTGTGTTGTAATTGTGTGGATCCAGATGAACCATTGCTCCTATTTTGCCTGAATCCTCTATTAACAGGGCTTGTCAGAATCAGCTTCAACAGTGCACTCGTACATCTATTCAAGCCACATAAGAACCATCAACTTGGATGTAAATGAAGACATTGTTCTTAGTACTTCAGCTTCAACCTAATTATATAAGATTATATTACGCGCATTCGTGTCATGCGACTTTGTCGATGATTTTCTACAACTTAGTTTTTTGTGCCACCTCCAGATTTTGGATATGTTATACACAGTAAGAATATCTACAACATGGCCAAGTTTAAAAAAATTCTACAGTGTAGTTTTTTATTTATAAGGCTTTTTTTCTTAAAGAACAGGAATTCTTAACTTAAATATGCAAGATTATATTACGCGCATTCGTGTCATCCGACTTTGTCGATGATTTTCTGCAACTTATTTTTTTGTGCCACCTCCAGATTTTGGATATGTTATAGACAGTAAGAATATCTACAACATGGCCAAGTTTAAAAAAATTCTACCGTGTAATTTTTTAGCTATAGAGCTGTTTCTCGAATGTGGTGCCATTTTCACAGTTAATACCAGAGTACATTCTCAAGGAATATTATTTCTTTCATTTTTTGTGCCACCTCCAGATTTTGGATATGTGATAGAAAATATAATTATTTATATTCTGGCCAAGTTTAAAAAAATTCTACCTTGTATTTTTTTTTTATAGGCCTTTGTTTGTTAAAGAACCGGAATTCTGATATATTTATATTTATTAAAAATTCTACCGTGTAGTTTTTAAATTATAGGCTAATTAAGAGAAATGGAAAGTACACTGTCATATAAATCTTAGTGTTTTCTTCAATTTCTTGACTTTTATACATTTATTGTGATGGTTAAGGACTGTAAAATAGTAATAAACAGTTAAGAATTGTTTTTTACTGTTTTATTTGATGGGAAACGTGTTTTAAAGACGATTTTTCGATTTATCATTTTGAATGATAAATTTTAGTTGAATGTGGTGATGATTGTTGTGATGAATGTTGTGTTGATTGTGTTGCCCGATGTGGTGCCAATTTCACGGTAGTCGAGACATTATCCATCGCTTCGCTTTTTTATTTCTTCTCAGAAGAAAAGAAATCTATAAAAAAGGGGGAAAACCACTTAAGTCAGATCACATTGAGGCATTTACTTACCAGCAGAGTGTTTTACGAGTAGAAGTACACGCAAGAATGAAAGAAAAGGTTTATAAAGTGACGGTGAATGCCAAATGTCAAGATTAAGTTTTACACTGTTTTCGTTGCCCAAATGAACACGAGGGCGTGATTTTCTCTTGTAGTGAAATAAAAAAAGGCTTTTTAATGAACGATTTGTTTTAAAAAATAGTGATACTCGTCGGTTTTCAGTCCTCAAATTGACCTACCACTACTAGTTTGGTGTGAGGGAGTTGTGGTAACAGGCTATACATATATTTGCATTTTTATTAATAAACACAAGGATAACATGGTATTTAAAAGACATGGAAATATGGTACATCATTTAATGTTGTTTTCCTGGGGGGAAGGAAAATTCCCATATAAAAGTGATGGGATGTTCATGGGAAATGTTCAGAAAGACTTCTTAAGGGTAACTGTGGGCAGTACTTGCTTTTATTTTTATCCCCAAAAAGACATCCATTGTAAAACATATGTCAAAACTTCTTTTAACTTCTGTTCTCCTAAACATGATAAAAGAATTCTCGCAGTGATCTAATTTGACACCCTATGTAAACCCAGGCTGTACCAGATGATAAATATTGTAATCCCTAGGAGGTAAAATCATCCCTTTACTGTTATATTAGAATGCTCCACCCACCCCCACCCCTCTAGCTGTATTTTCTTCTAAGTAAGCCTCAGTCTACAAATTATTTCATTTTCTATTTGAACAACAATAATTATTAAAAAACTGTCCAATGTAGTCTTCAAACATAAAACTACTCAAAAAACATATCTTCACATCCCTCTTTGATGAGAGGAAATTGCAAATTTACAAGTGTTCCACATAACTGAAACAAAATGTCAGCATAGCAGTGCAAATACAAAGGAATGACACCTAAAATTTTGAAGTCTTTCAGCCTAGCATTGGCTCTTTCGACATGAAACTGTGCTTTAGCTATGGCTTTTGTTTTCTTGACCTCACTCTCTGTGAAAGTTCCATTATTCAGAAAAGGTGGAATATTGACACAGACACCATGTGGTACAACATCCTGGATAAGGAAACCCTTGTCCGCCAGAATCATATCTCCAGCTGTCAAGTGATTAAGGAGTCCAGACTGTTGCACAATGGCCTTCTCTGAAATAGAACCTGGATACAGGCGACTGACATTAGTAATGACTCCATTTGGTGCAACACCAATTATTACCTTAAAGGAATTCATTCCTCTGTATGATAAAAAGGTTGCATTTTGCTGACTCATCAATCCCGGTGCAGCAAGCTCAATATCTGTGCAGACAGGATTCAAATTGCCTGAAAGAGGAGGGTGCAGAGATCTTGTTTTTTTGTTTCTGGGATGGAATCGACGTCATTAGCTCGTCAAACAAAATTTCATGCAAAACATGAGTGAATGCTATGACAATGTTAGAAATTGTGGCCACACTACAATGAAACAATTGGGCTAGGTGAAGCTGTGTGTTGTTCTGTCATACTTTCATAAAAGTGATAAAAATTTGATCATCAAAATTGACGGATTATACCTTCCAAAGCACTAAGATTTAAGGTTTTGGCTACGGGAAATACAAAGCGACCGTTAAAAAGACAACTAGCTGAAGCTTCTATCATTCAGTATTCGATGATTCTCCCTCATGTCCTGATGTTAACTCTTCACCAGAATAGAGTCCGTAAATCTCACTTAAAATCACGTATTTCATCAAATTTTCACCGAATAAGGAATTCTTTTCGAATATCAGTTCATACCTTATGAGTCGAACCATCTCTTGTACTCGTCGTTCAGCATTGTAGCGCTTGGAAAAGCAAAGAACTTGCAAGTGTTGCCCTCCGACGAATGGCCACATGTAGGAGCAAAACAGTCCTTTGCTTTGCTTTAACAGCATGAATATTTAATGCTTGCACTGAATCGAAGTCTGATTGTTCGTCATTTTCAAGAGCAGCCATGTTGGACTAGATTATGAAAGTTGTCGGTAATGATCGGCTATGATCGCAAGAAACATTTTGTTCCTTGCGATGGCAGCGCCGACGCTCGGTGTTCGTCACAAAAAATCGGCGACATAAATTTTAACGCGTTCTCATTAATAGTAAGCGCTCGCCGACGTCGCAAAAGCTCTATCGTCGACGTTTTACAATGAATGAGAACTAGGCTTTAGCCACGTCTCACAAGACGAATGGGCTGCATTAAAAATTACGTAATTGGATTTGGGTGGGTTGCGGTTATAACCGCTACGTACGCATAAAAGCATTGTACCCAAGACAACAAATCACTTTTTCTGACTTCTTTCGCGAAACAGTTGAGTTTGACGGGGCTATTGCTCCATTTTCGATAGTGAACGAAGGAGGATCAACCGCAGTTAGTAGCAGATTATCTGGCAATAAGTAGCACATCTCAACGAGTTTATAATCGAGGACTTGTCCAACTAATTTTGAAGGAATCAAAAGCCAACCAGGACCCAGGACCAAGCACTAAATGAGAGGGGGAAATCGCAGCCGACAATGGTACCGTTGATGTTGCTGACATGATAATTAGTGTCCCTAGTTTGCGTTGGTAATTCAGAGGACACATCAACAAAGGATGGAGTAGATAATGTACCTAATTTTGTTGAATCAAAAGACACCTCACCAAGCTGTTCCAATCCAGAAATCGTCGCTCTTTTATCAGCACAAAGTTTGATTGATTGAAACGCTCGCATCCAACCCACCGAAGGGGATTCACTTAGTTCGCGGTCGCAATTTTCATCAATATTTTGCGAGGACATTTCTTTCATTTCTATTTTTTATCTATTTTTTAACTGCACAGGGTGTCTCGTTTCCAGATTCGCAAGGCAATTCTTGGTTATTAACCATATTATTAACCTTTGTTATTTAATAACCTCATTTCTGTACTCACTTCTTGAATAATTATATTAGTAACGAAGACAAGACAAATGTAACAGCAAGTCAGTCGTTTATTATGGAAAGCTAAAGACAGTTTTTTCATACAGCATAGGTAATTACACGACAAAATGCTTGAAATACAGAAAGGTAATATTGCCAGACAATGTTTGATTGCCGTAACTGCGTAAAAGCACTATTGATATTGCTCATTTAATAAAAACGACAAGTTTTTTTTAAATAAACATGTTTCAACATCTCATGATGCCATCTTCAGTATTATAAGGAATATTATGTATGTGATGAATATATATGAGTAATATGATACTGTGATACAATTTATACACTTATGAATAAATTATTATATTACAATGAAATAGTGGTTAGAATTAATAATGAAAGTATTTAAATGCTGAATATAGTGTTAAAACGAAAAACTTGAACGTTGAGATTAGAGTTAGTTTTGTTAATGTGAAGTGCTTCTTTGATTTTGAGTTCAAATGTAGTATCTGCAGTGTCGATGATTTTAAAGCAAGTGGGTGAATACTGAATAGTTAGTTTTGCATGAAGGTGATTTTAAAAGGTGTCGAAAGATGTGTGAATTTTTGTCAGTTGTGGTGTTGATGTGTTGTAAGACCTTAGACGGCATGTTTGCCAGAACGTCTTCTCATAATGTCTCTCTTTGCCCAAAGTCGAAATACCACACTTCGCTTGATGACGACGACGACGACGAGCAAAATATTTTATCCGGTAATGAAGTCGAGAATAGTGACAATAATGACGATATTTTGTCGGAAAATCAAATGCTAACTAGTGATTCAATGCCTTCTTATGGAAAACCAATGAAAAACGAAGGAGAATCGTCGGTCGAAGAACTTAGTAATACGTCTGTCGAGAATTGTGCTCGCAAAAAAAATGAAACGATAACCAACATGTCTGAGACCAACATGGGTTCCACTCTCCAAGCTCGTGACAACATGACGAACTCGACGAAACAGAAGCAAGCTTTGAGTAAACTGAAAAAAATTATTACGGACTCGAATGTCGAAAAAGCTGCACTGAAATCCAACATCTCTCTTTCAAAAGAGAAAAAAGCTGATCGGGAAATCTCGAAAAATAGAGAAATGGAAGATGGAAAGGAAAAAGCTACAGCAAGTGGACTCCATGGCATCTCCGTTGATGAAAAGCGTCGACGAATCGACTCACGTGAGGAGCAAAATGTGCTGGAAACTAAGAGCTTCTCCAAACATTCTTCTTCTGTAGGGTCCAAAGATGTCCACAGTTTGTGCGATAAGCATGTTGAAAAGAAAGGAAAAACGAAAAAGGTAGAGGTTGTGGCATTTTGTGGCGGGTAGGATTATCCACAGGCTTACCCCATGAACAGTTGAAACTGAGGAAGGCCGTAGTTAAGGAAGGGCGGGATTAAAGTTAAAGCCTTAAAGGCCAGGTGGGATTAAGGGCAGGTGCAATTAAAAAAGTCGGGATTATAGACAAATTGGTTTAGGTTCAGGCGAGTGTTAGGACAGGTGGGATTAATGACAGGTGTGGTAAAGGACAAGTGGGATAAAGGGCAGGTGGGATAAAGGACAAGTGGGATAAAGGGTAAGTGGGATTAAGGATCGGTGTGGTAAAGGGACAATTGGGATGAAGAGCGGGTGGGATAAACGATAGGTAGGATTAAGGAGAGTTATTACAATGGACAGGGGTGACAGGACAGGTGAAATTAGGTATGAATAAGATTAAGCTCATAAAAGACTCTGGGACAACTGGGACTACTAATTACATGTGACACGAACCACCTGTCTCACCAGTAATTAGCTCTCTTGTCCTTTTTTGTAGTTTTCCTCGTATTTACAATGGACATTTCGGACTAAGAAGGTGGGACAAAGGACACTTGAGAGTCAGGATGGACGTTGTCTTCTAAATACAACCTGTTAAAATATCTGACCTGTACTTCATTTCTTAGGAAGACGAGGAAGATGATTGCGATATTGTTCTTGATCTTGACGACTTTGATCCGGGAGAGGAAATTACCGAACAGTTTGACGATAAACCCTTTTTTGAATGAGTTTGATCTTCGATTATTGCTTCAGTTATATCTGATATTTTTCGCGAAAAACTTTTTTAGACTGAGAAGGACTTCGCTCCTGGTGGTATTCCTACAGCAATGTCAACAAGTGAGTGGACAGATAAGTAATAATAATAGTAAGAATTTTTTTCATTTGCCTGAACTGCATTGAAATTACGGGAATAAAACAATGTTAAAATTACAATGGGAAAAAGTTAAGATAACCAAAGTTCAATGAAGTATGTAAAAAACAATGTGTGGAATGAAAAAATTTTAAAATTGTATAAAGGTATTTCATGTATAAATTTAAAAATGACGTTTACCTTGGTCCTCGAATCTTATTAAAGATATTTCTTTATTAAGGCGATCCCATTGTATTGGAATGCAATACTTCTCCGCGCCGTTTTTTTTTCTCGCTTTAGGCAGCAACAGTTAATTAGTATTCTCATTTGAAAGCCTTGTTGGTGTATTAAAATGAGCTGAAACAGTGCAGTTAACAATGTTGTGATTTAAGGAAGAAGCTTGAACAACATTGTTCACAAAGTGCCAGGAAACATTCAGGTAGAAAAAGTTTCACATCAATTGCTTGGAATTGATGGCAGGATCTCTGGCCATCAAGACGTTTACAAAAAACAAGGTTTGTACACACGTGAAAGTATTAATGGAAAGCACTACCGCAGTAGCGTACATAAACAAGATGGGAGGGACCCACTCGTAGGCTTTATCAAATCTAGCGCTACAACTGGAACAGAACAGAATTGTGGTATCTGTTCGACACCTGCCAGGGTACTGGAATGCCAGGGTACCGGATTGGGCATAGAGGAATTTAGTTGATTCGAGTGATTGGAAACTGGACCCATCAATGTTTCAGGCAATAATGAAAATATGGGGCCGATGAAGAGCGACTTATTTGCCTCTCGCCTAACTCATCAACTTCCCAAGTTAGTCAGCTGGAAACCGGATCCCATAGCAATACATTCAGATGTGTTTTCTTTAGATTGGGCAAGCCTTCGAGGCTATAGCCCAAGTGTTGCAAGCACAACCTTGGATCCTTTTTTACTGCATCTGTGCATAGATCGCCCTCTGTTGTTTTCAACGTCACCAACATTGCTGAGAGACAACATGCCTCACCCCCTTTCCAACCTGCAACTGGTTGGGTGGAGATTATCTGCAGACGTTACAATGACACAGGCATTTCAGAGTCAACTCGAGATATTTTTCTGGCTTCCTAGCAAAAGAACACAACCAACACGTATGCCTCCGTAGGAACATGTGGGTTAGCTGGTGTGATCAACGGCAAGTCAATCTCATTGAGTCTTATTTTAGAGTTTCTGAAAGATCAGTTTGAGGAAGGGAAAGCGTTTCACAGCCTCAACGTGTACAGATCCAGTTTGTCAGCCCTGTTGCCTGAGATTGATGGATATAAAGTGGGGTCTCACACGTTGATCTCACAACTTTTAAAAGGTATCTTTAATTTAAGATCGCCAGCACCCAAGTATTCTCATACTTGGAATGTTTCTATCATGTTAGGTTCATTAAATCATTGGGTTCGAATGAAGATATGAGTATCTGATATAAGATGTTGTTTTACAAGTTGGTAGTTTTTCTATGACTAACTGCACCGGATCGCTTATCCAATATGGCTAAGTGAGATCTTCGCTTTCGCGCTTACCACCCGGAAGGAGTATCCTTTCAGCTGCCGGGCTATCTAAGGAATCAAAGCCAGGAGACTTATCAAAGATCAGCTTTCACGCAACGTATCTCTCCGATGACGAGTTGTGTCTGGTAAAAATGATTGAGATCGTATGCGAAGCGAACTGCCGATAAGAGACCGAAGGAATCGAATCTCCAGAATAGACTATTCCTGTCCCTCTTTCGACCGCACCAACCATTGCTTCCTCTAGATTGGGGCGTTGGATTAAGACACTATTACAACTAGCAGACATTGATTGTAATGTTTTTACGGCACACTTCATTAGAGGTGCAGCCACTACTGCCGCATTTAATCAGTGTATTTCGATTTCGGAAATTTTATCGATGGCGGACTGGTCTTAGGAAAATACCTTTCGCAGATTGTCTTATAGACCGCAGTTCAACCTAGCACCAAGTAGGGAAATGATATCTACCTGCAAGAACTAGTCAGGCTTTAAACATGCAGTGTTAAATCTCGTCTCGTATAACTCATATAATTAATATTATACATCATCTGCTGCACAGACTTGCATTATCTACAATTGTCTTTTACGAGCTGTGAGTACGAATGTAGGATCCCCGAATTAACGACGTTAAGGCAACCCTGATTTAAATTCACTTTCGGGGCGCTTTTTCCAATTGAATTGTTTTGATGAACTTTCATTGTTCATTGTAATAAATTATAAAATAACCTTTGAAAAAAACGGGCGCTGGTCGAATGCTCCAAAAAAGGCGTGTTAATATAACTTAATAATGCAAAAATGCTTGGAAAACTCGTGCTTGCCCACGCAATTTCGAGTTTCTACCAAACTTTCACGCGTGTTTACATAACTCTGTACAAACTCGGAAAATGTTTTCGATTTTTTATTTATCATATGAGTATTTAAATTTATGCGCAACAAAATGGTGAAATAAAAATCATATGCCTAAAATTTCCGAGCATCTGATTGGACATACGATTTTCTTCACTTGTGAAAAACGTCGTAACTGTCTTGCATTCTGATTGTATATACGATACGCTTCCCTCCGAAAGAAAAAGACAACGTAAAATACAAACCTAATTCCTTCGTAGATGAATTGCCATTCATAATGTTATGACACAAACGGTGGAAAAACTAGTTTATCCCAATGAACAATTAATTTGTGTTATTGTATTTTCTTATGCAAATTATGTGATTGTTTTTAAGCGTTCGAGTTGTGTCTATCATTTCAGCAAACAAATTTCACTATAATCTAAAATTCAACACTCGTATGATAAAAAGATTACTTCATGGTTGGTTCGTTTGAATGATTCGTGGAAAAGTTGAGAATAAAAATCGTACGCACACAGTAACCATGAAGTAATGTATTAAAATCACAATTTGCCTCAGAGGTCAAACCATCTTCAATGATTTATTTTGAATAATCCAAACAATTTTTAAAAAGATTTGCGAGATTTACACGGTGGCTAACACTCTTTAGCCTGGTTATAGAATAGTTATTTCATTTCGAGTCATTTTATTCGTGTGCCTAATTATGTATTTTTTACCAGACCTTTGGGTTTCCTTAAGCGCTCCCCCCTGTTCTGAAGTTTGTAAATATAGAAATCAGGTGGGAAAGTCCATGCTCATCAGACCAGATCTGTAAAATAATGCATGCACGGCCGCACTTCGCTATAAGGCCCATTCATACGATCCGATTTGTCCGATCCAATTGTTTTGGTTCCGACTTTTGGATGCTTGTTATAGCGGTCCGATATTTTTGTTTGCCGGATATTTTAGGAGATATTTATAGTCGTGGAAGTAGCCATTTGTGTTATCCAGTACATTTATCGATATATTTTGCGTGTTTTTTTTTGTCAAATCTAATTTTTCGTGCCAAGTATGGAGAGTGAGAATTCTGAAGCTGGCCGGCTTCCTCTGATCTTTTCTCAAGTTTTCTTTTTTCTTTTCTCAAGTTCTATTTCCATCCAATTTGACTCGATTGTCGAAGGGTCGCTTTATATGTCTTTACATGATTCGTTTTTTAGGATCGGACAAAATCGAATCTGCTAAATCGCATCGTGTGAACGGACCTTTATTCAGGCGACCGCTGCAACTCGATTAAGACGACTCAAAGGAACGACTGAGACAAATGTATGAGAACCACCGCTCATCATTTACTTCATACAGCGTTAGCATCTCACTTTAGTTGTCTCCGTCTTGCCAATGCTGGCGGGGACTTCAGGTGCTCCACCAAGATTTAAGTGAAATGCTCCAACCAACGTACGATAGCAACGATCAGTCAACGGAGTAATGACCAATCTACGCAATAAAATTATGGAATAAGATCTATGTCTTAAGGAATAGTCCAGGCGGAATACTTAGTGAAAACAATTACTTTGTTGATGCTTATTCCTGTGAAAGTACTAATTCTTATGAAGGCGTAGCCCGTAATACTTTCTTTGAAATAAAGTGTCACGGGTTTGTTTGGTTCTAGGACGAATTTAAACGAGGTTTGTACATAAACAAATAAAACATGGGTACTTCAAACCGTGAAAGAACCACTTTCAACAGTCATAGTTAAATCAACAAAACATAAATAAAAACACTTTCTTCTATTAAGAGATCAGGGGTTTTTTTAACTGGTTGCGCGTGACATATTCTAAATAATCTTATACCTTACAGAATTTCTCAGGTATTCGTAACCGTAGTTGACCGTTGCATTGATAATTTTCACAAGGCAATTATCATTTTCCCAGTAATAGCGAAGCTGAGACAGCCAATCAAAGTCCTTTTCACGCGAGACACCTATGAAAGACATTTTTTTACATTATATGGCTTATTGCCAGCGGAGTAATAGAAGTTTTGAAATAGAAGTTAATAATAGAAGTTTTGAAAACAAGCGAAAATTTCGATCGATCAATTCTGCATAAAGTAAACATAATCTTCATGGCGTAAATATTTTTTTCAACACGAGAAAAAAAGAATTTGAATCAATGTCGAACTCGTATGCTCGATTGTTTTTTTTTTTCATCTTTTAGGCTTGATTACACAACTCCGTTTCATTACCATAAAGCAAGAGAATTACTTTTGGCAAGATCAAAGCGTACACCAGACATTTTTATTTAGCATTTTTATAAGTTTTGAAATACTATTGACACAGTAGCGAATCCATTATAGATCAAAATAAATTATAGCTGCTCAATTTTAAATTCAAATTGCATACAGAAAAACACTATTGGTTGTCAGTTTCTAAAAAATTTAATTTTTCAAGGTGTTTAGAAATGAAAATTCATACCAAAATGAGACGCAATGATTTATTTTGACGTACTCTACATTGAGATTTGCAGCATTAAGCGTCTTGGTTAAATGTGACATCAAGAAATGATCAACGGTCAATAATTCCCACAATAAATTTGAATTCTACAACTCACTAAACACTTTATTAAAGTTTTTCGGACTTATTCAGAATGTCTATAAGCTGAATGTTCCTTCAAGGACTTAACAGGCCGTTAAAACTTGATAACAACAAATCATGTTAGTTATAGTAGAGATATTTACACTATGTAAATCGAAACAATGCTGTTGAAGCATGCCTAAACCTGGCAAATAAAACTTTAAAAGACTTTACGAGATCAAAAGGAGCAAGCAATGTTCAATCTGTAGCGGCCTATTTCGCTGATTCATGAGTTCCTGTAAATTATGCCTGAGGAAAAATTGCTCGTTCTCACGTCGGATAGAATTAAAACACTCGACAAAAGGCGATAACTGTTATAGATGCTGTCAAAAATGCAAATTTAGCGCACATATTTTAAAATACACATATTCTCTGCTTTCAGTAACAGTTGCGACTGTCTTGAGTAGTGTCCTTTCTTATTGCAAAATAATTTTTTTATTTATGCTTGAAAAACTAAGTGTTGTATAATTTAGGATATTTCATTTATATTTTTTATTGCATGCCAGATTTTATAAGCTCCCATGCAGAGTTTTATGTGTGCCAAAATTATAATTAAAAATTAGGGTGTATATACTTAACACTTCCTAAGTATTTTCTCTCTTAATTAATTCATGTTGTAGTAGTGCACGTAAGTCACGAAATGTAAACATATAAATAGACTCAAATTTGTAATAGTCGAAAAGATTGTGTAGATTGTTCATTGCTAATAAACTCCATAAAACAAACCGAATCAGAGTGCAGATCAATTTTCTGGACGAACTCAGTGAATTCTGCGACACTAAGTATGTAGATGGATTGTAAATGATGATAGGTGTTGATGATACCTTTCTCCACCATATCTTCAACGACATCCCTTGCGTGCACATCGATTGTGACCAAGGCTCCCAATGTCGTTCTATTTTGCTTCGACAGTTTACCTCGAACAAGACTTATGATATCTTCGAGCAAATGAAATGTTTTACACAATCAGTAACATGGTAAAAAAATGTCCCATATCTGAAATATGACGAGACACGTGCTGAAAAATTGAAGCATCCATCACCGAACGGCAGACGCTTCTATCTCAAATTCATAAAATGCTTATGACCACAAATGGGTTTTTTATTGATTCAGATAGTTCTCAAAAAATTAGTTAACAACTTCTACACTAATTTATACACACATAAAATATTTCCAGAAGTAATACAGCTCAAACAAAAAGAAAAAAACACACACAAAAAGATAGCGCACTCAAAATGCAGGATCTCATGCAAGAATACAATTTCAACAATAATATATATAGAATTTATATTTTAAATTATGTATTGTTATAGAGTTTTATGCATAATAGGCCTTGTTTAAAAGAAAAGATACAGAACAAGAAAAGTAGCTATGTTGTGATATAGGCTTAAATAACTTTCATGCACAGATGTATTCCTAAGTTAAAGCTAAGTCTTCGCTGCTTTTTTCTTAAAACCTGTTTTTAAGCAGTAAAAACTTTTGAAATATGCCTTTTATCAAATTTGGAAGTTCTTAAATAACTTTTTGACACATACTAAAATCAATAAAACCAAATGGAGGTCATATATATGCTTTAAGTTCTGCCGAGATGTTGGTTAAGATTTAATAGCTATAAATAACTTTGATAGACAATTTTTTGACTTTCAAGCTTTCAGGAAAAACAGATACAGATAGAAACTCTTCGGAAAATAAGAAATCCTTTTCCCTTTATGTATTTTTGTTCATATTATTTTAAGCAACTTCAAAATATTGCTACAGATATGAATAATTTGTTCCGCAAAACAAATAATCAACCAAGCAATAAATCTTTTGCATTTCTAAAATTAAATTGCTAACAATTTTTAAGACCATAGTTAACGAATTTTCATGCAAAAGACTATAGTTCACTATAGTTTCATGCAATAGACTATAGTTCACGAATTTTCGTGCAAAAGACTATTGTTCACTACTTTTCATGCAAAAGACCATAGTTCACGAATTTTCATGCAAAAGACTATATTTCACGATTTTTCATGCAAAAGACCATAGTTCACGATTTTTCATGCAAAAGACTATAGTTCACGAATTTTTATGCAAAAGACCGTAGTTCACGAATGTTCATGGAAAAGACTATAGTTCACTATAGTTTCATGCAAAAGACTATAGTTCACGAATTTTCGTACAAAAGACTATAGTTCACGATTTTTCATGCAAAAGACTACAGTTCACTACTTTTCATGCAAAAGACCATAGTTCACGAATTTTCATGCAAAAGACTATATTTTCACGATTTTTCATGCAAAAGACTATAGTTCACGAATTTTTATGCAAAAGACCATAGATCACGAATTTTCACGCAAAAGACTATATTTCACTATAGTTCAACATAAATTTCTTAGGGAAAATGCTTTATTCATTACCTGGCATGAAGCCTTGTGTCCATAACAATAAAATATCGGCACCGAAATTGACACTTTTGACAAAATGTCATGCCTCTTGTTTGCCTAGAACGGTACCAATTTATTCAAAGTTTAGTTGGTGAATGAACTTGTCCCACATCATACATGCCAACATTAAGATACCTTTAAATGTGAGGATAATACACATCCAATATCATACATTATTTTTAAATCAACACCGGGACTTTGGTCAGCATCTTTTAAAATGCTTTGGATTAGGAACAGCGAATACGAAATTCTGAATACTGACAACTCTAAAATAAGGTGGAGCACATTATAGATTAGTGCATATATAATAATTGTTTTATTACTGTAAAAATAAACATGACAGTTTACACAATCAAGTCATAGACCATGCATAAGCATGATAAATTAAAGGAAAAGAAAAAAATTGGCTGTTTGTAATTTTGATTTTAAATCCACGTAGCTACTTACGTATGTATCAAGGCCCATAGACCTGCATGAAGCATGGACCCACTTTTCTCAGGGGCGAAGCATGCCCAATCTTTTACTCTTACAATGCAAATTTGTCTGCAAAATTGTTAATAATTTCTTTAGAAAATCAAATCCATTCATTGTTTTCCCAGTGATAAACCATCAAGCGATCGTAATTGGGGTTTATGGAGCATAATTTCAAAAATCTCCAATCATTGTATATAAGTAACAAAATTTAACGAAAAATGTCTTGCATGTTACGGCAACAAGCAGCCACTAGAATCTTATCCAAACTAGAGCACCCCCTCCCTCCAGAAAAGTACATCCCTGGGTAATGATGTAGCGATTGAAGAAAGACAATCTTTTCTGCTCTGGTTTCTTCCTTGATTAAAAGTCCCCGTAGGTAAAATATTATTTTTTAGTGTCTTCAAAAAAACCAGGTCAAATTCAGTCCTAGAAGGCTCGATGGTTTTGGTCTTACAGATGGTGAGGCTATTGAAAGGCTCTGGGCTTACCTTCGTGGGTTCTCAGCAATTAATAAGGAGATGTCTGCCAGTAGAAGAGTAGATCTTTTGACAGACGCGCTCAACCACAGCTAAACCTTTAACCCTAGAACTGACAGAGGAGAAAGTATGAGCCTTTGACATACATGTATATCACATATAATACATGTATGTAATATCTCATTCCTTATAATCCTTCAAATGCATACTATAAAATAAAAGTAATTAAACAACGTACCCACATTCCAGTCGAAAGGATAAATGTGTTGGTCGTCTGTTCATTCCTCCAACACAAGAGTTAAAGCATGTAAATCTAAACAATTCCTTGCGATATCCGCTATCTGCAAAATAATTTACAGCAAAATTACTAAATACCTGTGTATGTAAAGAAATTAAAGTGCTAAAATAAAATACAAGAGCAGCACATATACCATCTGGTTTCACAGCATTCAGCGGTATGAACATAGACAAACGTTTTGTCTTTGGGCAACTTTCGTACCTTGTTTGTGGATTATCACATCTCATTACATGCTCAAGATACTCTTTTAAAACAAATAAAGTCAATTCATATTAAAAGTCTCAAGTTTTAAAACTAAGTCTCATTCTCAAGTTTTAAAAAGTTAGATGAGTCTTACTTTCTGAGCATGTATTTTTATGATTTGGACAACGGACAACAATTTCTCGATAATTTTTAGGTTTTTTGTACATAAGAATACCACGAATTCCGCTACAAGTGGGTGGATTGCCTAGATAAAATATTCAACATTACATTCGTCACAAAATTGAGAACAAAATACAATTATGACCATTTACCTTCATTACAACTACGTTGGTTGTCTCTGGACTCGATTTGACACCATTTTGTCAGATGGATTTGTTTGTCCCCACGGTAAATACCATGGGGACAAAGAATACAAAATATTACAGGGATCAAAGTGCCATGCTTCTTCTTGGGTCTAGTGACTTTGGCACAATCTCCCTGCTGTGTTTGAACCAGTTCTGGCAGACAAGGTACATATCCATGGGACGAATTTTGAGACACCACAGGTAAGTTGTGTGGCAAACGCCACTGACCGTCCTTGACCTCGAACGGACTTATAGCCGTTTGTACCAATTCCTTTAGCAGCGGTTGAATAGTAATAGGAATTTCTTCGCTAGCCTCAACGACGTTAAACAGTAGGGGCACTTCTTCATGAAGAAGTTTTAAATCAGTCGAAGGATTGTCTTTTGGATTGGCTCCATCAGACATCCTTATCAAGAGGTTCAAAACTTCTTCTTTGGGGGGCACAATTGCGCATACTGGTTTGTCAGAAGCCAATGCTGCCAATAACCTTCTGCACGAGTTTGGACAACTAGTGATAAATCCTTGTTTCTCTAACCATTCAAGTAGAGTCCTAAGCCCCTTTGAAGATATCTATAAATACGAGAAATTGTAGTATAAAATGAGCTCTGGAGTGGTCATACAAAATTTTGTACTCGTGGGGTAATAAATTCTTCTTACTTCAGATTTTAATTCTTGAAATTCGTCCCAACTTAGCTTTGAATCACTGTACTTCTTCAATAAAGCTCGCACATTTCTCCTGTTGATGAAATTGCACATTTCAAACCTAGTATTGGACAAAAGAAAACAGGTTGTTATTTTTATAACTATAAGCTGTGTACAAAAACAAAGTGAGAGAAGTCACCATCATGCATAAAATGCTTTCTGATACGTAGATGAACACTCGTATTTACTAATTAGCAGACCTGTATATACTATATATTACAGATAAACTTCAAAAATACTTATCGTCCATCTAGCAATCCAGTATCAGACTCTCTTAAATTATTTGGTAAGAAAGTTTTCTGTATTCCAAAAGTTGTTCCATCCATCACCACATTTTGGGGAATTCTTCCACAAAATTCACAAAAAAACCCATTGTCAAAATCAATATCAAGCAACCTTAATAAGAGAAAATTCAATAACTTAATAAAACAAGCGATCACTATCTCAATGGAATATTCATATTTTACAGCTGAAAATGAAATGATGCTTACCGTATCATGGCAATGATAGCGAGACGAAACTTGGCGTAAGTTATTTCCTTTGGGAAATTAAAATTACCCGAAGACACTTGCCTTTGTACATACGCAACATAATATTTGTACATAGGTAAACTGAACAAGAATAAAAAAGAAAAAACATTCAAAAGAGATAGGGCGAGAAAATTAAATAATGGACAAACGTAGCTACTAATGCTTCGGCAAATTTTCATTAAAAAGTACCTCGACGTTATGAAAAGCCGAATGTAATCTTTTAGAACGGCATGAGATATTGCATATAATCTAAACCATACAATCCTGTTTTCAATGCCATCATAATGGTTTTTCGTAGCACAAGAGGAGCAAGGTCTACAATACACAAAATAATTTATTTAGGTCAAATAATTATGAAGTGAACCGTAACCTATAACAAATCAGAACTTACCCTTTACATCATGGATTGAATAAAAGTACGCAACTTAACACACGTCTACGTACAACCATTCATCTTGAATAGAACGTTTATCCCACTCTGCACCACAAGAACAAATACCACTTTCAGATGGCGCCAAAATTTTATGACCATTTTTTTCAGGAAGATCAGTAAAATCGCTTGCATCATTCTCATTGCCTAAAATAATTAAATTGTAATATTTACAAAATGCTAGAAAGTGCTAAATACCATACCGATAAAGGAAATAGTATATGTAAAGTTAAAAGGATGTTCACCATTGCAGATTATCTTGCATACATGTTTCAAATAAAGAAACCTTTTCTTTGCTAAGTGTAGCCAATTCAAAATAGTCTCGCATCTCTGGTGTAATTCCAAAGGAACACTTAAAAAGTGCCAATGGAGAATCCGTTTCATCCTCTTCGTTGAAGAAGGATGAAATGGATTCTAAATATATATTATAATAATATATCCTTGCTTCGTTGAGACTTCACTCGAACGATGAGACTGTATTTTGACAATTGTATTGAACACTTGATAGGATATTTACAGTGGTTTGTGCACAATTTATGATACGGAGTTCCAAACGTTGGTTCTTTGCGACACAAATATGTTATTGAAACGTTGAGATTGCGGCCAACCATCAATCTTTAAACTTGAAACTTATTCAAACGCTATCGCCTCCTGCAATACGACTTCCAACTTATCACTTTTGTACGTCTAACAACGTCTGTTTTTCCGAATGCCGAACCAACGCTTGCAAGCTCTTATTTATATTATAATTATTAGGATATGATTTTTGGGCGTTTGCATGACTTGCAACACGCCATTCCGTTTATAGAGTACCGTCATTACCTACATCCTACCGCTATGCCACATTGGGTAGAAAAAGTGTTCCTAAGTATTTTGAATTTACGTACAGGGTTTCCACTGAAACCACAGTTTAGTAACTATATACGTATTTGTCTAGTAATATCATCATCATCATGCAGTCAGTCGTAAGCGACGAGGACTGTTCTATGGTTGGATTGAAGCTCTCCAGGCCGGTCTGTTATCAGCCAGTTGCTTCCAGGTTGTCACGTTGATGTCTCTCCTCTTTAGATTTCGTTTCATGACATCTTTGAGTCTGAGTCGAGGTCGGCCTTGGTTTCGTTTCCTTTCTACTATTTGGCTGTACAATAGCTGGCGTGGTAAACGAGATCTCTCCATACGATGGACATGACCAATCCATCTTAAATTCTTCTGAATCAGCATGTCAGCCATGTGTGGCAGGTCAGTCAGACGGAGAATCTTAGCATTTGCGATCTTGTCCCGCCATGATATCTTCAGAATGTCCCGCAGTTGTCTCATCATATACACACTCAGTTTCTTCACTTGAAGCCTGTAGATTGTCCATGCCTCTGCTCCATAAAGGAGTGTTGTCAGCACCACCGCCTGATAGACCTTGGCTTTAACTCTGGTCGAGACATGCTTATTTTGCCATAGCCGATCGTTTAGTTGACTGAACGCTGCACTCGCCCTTCCCATTCTGTTCCTCAGCTCCTTTTCAATCTTAGCATTGCTGGAGATTGTACTACCCAGGTAGTTGAAGTCTGTGGTCTGGACAAGAGGCTGTCCGTCAATGGTGATTGCACAGGGTTTTGGGGGGAGGGAGTAGAAGCTTTACTGGCTGGTAGAGGCACTCAGTCTTTTTGATGTTTATCTTGAGGCTAAACATAGCGGCAGCTTGTGCAAATTTGTCCACCAATGCCTGCATCTCTGCTGCACTGTGAGTAACCAGAGCACAGTCGTCTGCAAAAAAGCATATCTCTGACAAGCTGACGTGTTGTGCGTGTCTTAGCTTTGAAGTGTGAGGCGTTGAATAGGTTCCCATCATGTCTAGTCTGGATGTAGATACCTTCCCTTGTGTCCTCGAAGGCAACCTCCAGCATGGCAGCCAGGTAGAATGAGAACAGTGTCGGAGCCAGCACACACCCTTGCTTTACACCTGTTGAGACAGCGAATCCCTCAGAGCAGTCGCTCCCACGAGTGACTTTAGCTTGCATTCCTTCGTGAAACGCTTTCACGAGATTGATAATCTTATCAGTACAGCCAAACTTTTTCAGTACTGCCCACAAGCCGCCTCTAGGGACAGTGTCAAAGGCCTTAGTAAAGTCTATGAAAACTGCATAGAGGGGCATGTTCTGTTCAGTGCATTTCTCCTTAACCTGTCGTAGGCTGAATATCATATCCATGGTACTCCGCCCACTCCGAAATCCACTCTGGGTCTCAGGAATTACTCTGGGACTTATCATTTCGTTCAGACGATTGAGGAGTATTCGAGCCATCACCTTCCCAGCGATTGAGAGTAGAAAAATGGCGCGATAGTTGCCGCACTCTTTACGACTGCCTTTCTTGAATATAGGGACTATATTCGCGTCCTTCCAATCTTGTGGAATCTTCTCTCCTATCCAGATATCTCCGATCACATCTAGCAACCTCTCTTTGAGTGTTGTACCACCATACTTCCATACTTCTGCAGGTATCCCACAACATCCAGGAGCTTTGCTTTCCTTAGTTGCTGCGATCGCCTTCAGAAGTTCATCCATCTTTGGGGGCTCATCCAGTACGTGGACTGTTGGACGTTGGGTGATGCTCGCAAGAGCAGCACTATCCACGTTTCCAGGCAGATTTAACAACTGGTCGAAGTGCTGAGCAAATCTTTCCAGCATCTTCTTGTTGTCTGTCAACACAGTCTCTCCATCAAGAGCGAGCAGTTGGGCAGTACCTCTCTTTTGTGGGCCATATACTTCTCTAAGACCTCCATAGAAGGACTTCATGTCGTTTGGAACATATGACTTAACATTTTACAGTTTATATCATACGGTATATTCACACTTTACACAACATAACATGACAATTTACAACAACCCAGATTGGGCACCAAGTCAAAATCTAGGCCACAACAATGTGAAAAAGAGAAACACAGAACGATCGTCTCGCTACCAAGGGATAATTGAAAAGAAGAGAAGATCTGAAACTGCTAATGCCCTTATAGCAATGTCAAGCGAGCAGCCCAATGAGGTTGTTGATAAAATGGACACCTCTGAACCAAAGGCAAATGAAATGTCAACACAGACTGATAAAACTGTTAATGAGCTGAGGTTACTTGAAGATGAGGTGGATTTTCTAAGGAAGGAAAATTCTGATTTAAAGAAAAAATTGTTGCAAAAGGAACTAAATGAGGATGCATTTAAAGATGATGATGAAAAGGTACTCTTCTATACAGGTTTACCTACCTGGAAGCTTCTTTTGTGCCTTTACAACTTTGTGTCTGGCTTCTTGTCACAAACATCCAGGTGTATGCTTAGCCCTTTCCAGAGACTCATTCTTACATTAATGAGAATGAGACTCAACCTTTCTGGTAAAGACTTAGCCTATAGGTTTGGTGGAATTCATGACGCAACTGTTTCCAAAGTTTTTATTCAAATGATGGATATTCTACATAGCAGGCTTTGTCCACTTATCCATTGGCCTGAACGAGAAGCCTTATTAAAAACAATGCCCATGGATTTTCGCAAGAACTGCCCAGCATGTGCTGTGATAATTGATTGTTTTGAGATTTTCATCGACCGTGCTTCTAATCCTTTAGCCAGGGCACAGACATACTCATCATACAAACACCATAAAACTGTCAAGTATTTGATAGGAATTACTCCCCAAGGTAGTGTAAGCTTCATATCTGATGAATGGGGTGGTCGTGTCAGTGATAAACACTTAACAGAAGAATGTGGTCTTCTAGAAAAGCTTACCCCAGGGGATGTAATTCTAGCAGACACAGGGTTTGACATACAAGAATCTGTTGGATTGTATTGTGCTCGTGTAAAGATACCAGCTTTTACAAAAGGAAAAAAGCAATTAAGCAGGATTGAGGTGGAACAAACTAGGAAGATTGCTAATGTAAGAATCCATGTGGAACGTGTAATTGGCAATATTCGAAAAAAATATGGAATCCTTTCTGCAACTCAACCAATAGACTTTGTTGTTTCAAAAGGAGGAAAGACCCCACTTGACAAAATAGTAACAGTCAGCTGTGCATTGAATAACATGTGTGATTCAGTAGTCCCATTTGAATGAATGTTTATTATTTAGAGGCAAAAGCGTAGGTTAGAATACGTTGATATAAATATATTTCCCATTTAAAATACTTTACAACTAACATTATTGATGATGCTCTGGTTCTTAAATATTTTTTTGAAATTTCTAACCAGCAACATTGCTGTTAAATTATTTTGAATTTAAAATTAGCTACTATAATGTATTCTGACCTATCTTGGATCTGCTAATGTATGTAGCTTTATACATTGAGTCGTATTCTTTTTACCTGATGTGTGCGAGAGTAAAATTTCCCAAGCAGCTCGGGAAGGATCCCATTGATAATAAATTTCTCTACTCAAGATACATTTTCTTTCCAAAACTTCTCATCTGGCAAAATTCTTTCTATGTAGAGCATTTTTTCACTCCACACAACAAAATCACAATAGCTGCGTGCACTGCAAAACAATTGAGCTTGGACCTGAAAGAAAATGACATTCTAACATTACTGTTTAGTACATGTATGCAATATATATTTGTGTGTTGACTCAGCTGATACTGATTACAATTAACCACACATTTTCGCACCTATCTGAAAATGTACCTGATAATAATAACAATGCTTCCTTTTAAGCCGTTTTCAAACTGGTGTTTCTTCCAGACAAAAGTCCTTGTCAGCTAGTGATGTGTCTAATGTGTCATCTTTATGGCAATAGGGACACTAAACACATACAATAACAAAAAATTGCTAAGGCTCTAATTATTGATATATTTAATACTCCATTATGTTATATACTTAGATATATCATGATCAAATACCTTAATCTCACAGACACCATCGCTACAGCACTTGTAATTGACCAGCCCATCTGGACTTGCACCAATGAAGCCATGATCAACATTAATGAAGATGCCAGATTCTTCTACTTTGAAGGCCTCATGTTTAGTTCTTTGAAAGCTTTCGTATGCATCCCTAGCTTGCTTTTTATGGTGACACCCCCATCGTGTAGCAGCAGTGCTAAACTTTCCTAGCTCAGGATGACAAATGCTCAAAATTAAAGATTTTGATGGGCTATCTGGGCATGTCCGTGAGGCAGCTTTGAATCTTGAGGCAGTCACCCGGCCAGTCCTCATTCTGAACCAAAGTCTGGATTCAGACTGCTGTCTGGTCATCTCTTCGATAATTCTTTGCTGCTCTGGAAGGACTGTATAGAGTAGTAGCTTGTGGGGAGCAACCTCTATCAAGGTAGCAAGGTCAGCACCTAACAAGCTTTTGTCATAAATATTAGACATCACAATTGGCAAATCAGGGTAACAGGACTTTGGAACAAATGGGTCAGAGAATTCCTTAACTACGGAAAGTATGACAGGTTTTGACTCAGTAGCTTGTAATTCTGCATAAAACTTTGACAGTTCACTTTCTGTAGGTGGAGGCGGAGGAATTGTTTTGGAAATGACTGTGGGAGATGTTGAAGCTCCATTTTTTGAGAAGCAGATGTGTCTTACTCTTGCATATGGCACTTTCTTCACAGCTGAGGGAAGGACCCAGTAGGCTTTTTTGTCAGTTACAGTAAGAGAGTGCATTGATGACGTGTAATCACGTGATTCCTTCACGTATAATTGAACAACATAATCTTTCTATGTCAACAATTTAATATTTCTCTCTTTCTACCAGTTTCTACATGAATACCGGTATATCATGAATGCGTGTAAAAGGCTGCAGCAAAAACCTAGCTATGTTAATTAATCTCTAAATATATCAATAAATTTACATACTTTATAAAGATATGAAGGAGGCAGTGCAGAAACATCCTGAAGTTGACGTTATGGTAAATTTTGCTTCCTTACGATCTGCTTATGGTGCGACAGTCGAGGCAATGAACTATGAACAGGTTAGTAGATATGCTCTACTTATTGATTTTTGTCGAGAATACGTATTCCCATTCTTTAATTAAGTAAATGATGACAATGGGTGTTGCTTGTTGTTAAAACAAATTTTAAAATGTCTGACATTTTATGCAAGAACTCAAGCAGTTAATTATTTGTTTTTTTCTGTTGGTAGATAAGATGTATTGCTATAATTGCTGAAGGAATTCCCGAGGCAATGACAAGAATAATAAACCAAAAAGCCAAGGAAAAAGGTGTTACATAATTGGACCCGCAACGGTAAGTAAAAAATCCTAATTTTACTTTTGCATCAGAAATTGTCTTTTGCTTTAGATTTTGTGAAAATATGCCCTGTTCTACTATATGGATACATATATTGGTTAAGGTTGGAGGTATTAAGCCGGGATGCTTTAAAATTGGGAATACTGGTGGCATGTTGGATAACATCCTTGCCTCGAGATTATATAGACCAGGAAGGTGCGTGTTTTATACTTAACGGTGTAGCTACATTGTAAAATTATTGCAGCAAAGATTTCACATCAATGAAACTCGTGCACGCAGATGTTTGTTCTTAATTTTTAGCCACAAATCACGTTAAAATTAAAGTTTTGAGCTGAAGTCAACAATTTTTTTATTAAAGTAATTTTTTTATTGCATCATGCATGCCTCGACTCCATTTAAAAGCCGTAACCAGAGAATTTGAAGCTACATGTTTTCCATATGTGTACTGTATATTTATTATATAATTGAAATATAAGGGATGAAACAGGCTTTAAAACATTGAATCAGTTAAAAGCAAACTATTTTAAAGATTATTTGCCATGAAGCCAATGGATGTTCTGCTCGTAAACTTGTGAACGAAAACCTAACCTACACACATTTTGAAAATTGATGATTTATTGAAATTCTCTAGAATTTTTTCACTGAACTGTTTTTTACAATTATAATTTTGTTTTGTTCTACGTCACAGTGTCGCTTATGTTTCTCGTTCAGGTGGTATGTCAAATGAACTCAACAACATCATTTCACGATCCACCGATGGCGTTTTTGAAGGAGTTGCTATCGGTGGTGACAGGTATAAAGATGTTTCACATTTACTTGAGTTTTCGGATTCCTTTCCACTCCCTAATATACTGCACTATGTCATGAGATGATTTTTGTACAAAGATGAAACATCAGCTGAAGGAAAGATACTTTGAAACATGAAGCAGAATCTTAAGTATAGAAGTAAAACTCGAATGATTTGTATGGTTCGCTTGCATGCAGCTTAAGGTGATGATGTAAGAGTTTCAAGTGTTTCCATCCTAGTTTTTAATGCGTCGATTTCATTAACTTGTCTGAATAATCTCTGTCGTTCTTCTTTACATGTCAACCCTATGAGCGCAAGAAGAATTTAATGTCCTCAACAAAAAAACAGATAAAACCAGTAAAATTAACGATCACGTATTGTTACCAGATTCAAGTGTTTCCATCCTAGTTTTCAATGCGTCGATATCTTTAACATATTCTGTCCATTCCTGAACAATGTTTGCCAAGGTCAAGATCATATTATAAATAATATAAAAAACCTTGTAAGTCGGTCGCAAGGTCAATATCCTTTAGAGTATACTCGTCGTCTTCAAACAATTTTACATTTCTTGACCGAAGTCTGTTGTGACTAGAGGCGTGTCGACTAGAGACGTGTCGTGAAACAGAGTTAAAATGTAAAATTCAACTCTGTTTCACGACACGTCTCTAGCATCCATTCTTGACTGCTATTATCAAGAGCGACACTTATCACGTGTCATCAACCAACGATATTACTGGCTGTTACAACAAATGGCTGTAGAAATTTCGAGGTCCGAATAAACAATAACCTTACCCTGTTTGCGCTGGAAGAAGGTTTTCGATTTCTTGAACGCGTTCCAGGCGCATTTTCTAAAAACGCCATCACTCATTTTTAGCAATCGTAAAACGAACACAGTAGAAATGAAAATTCCCACCTCAATAGTTTCCACTTCACAAGCAATCCTTTCTTGTTCGCCAATTTTCAGTCTACGCTCAGATATCGTCAGAGACTTTGATTCTTTCTCACTGTAGACGTGTTAAGACATGAGGATGATAAAATCATTATAAAACTGTTCCATAAACAAGACGTTAGTTTTAAACTGTTTATTCTCCTGGCCGATTTTACACTTTAAAACGGTTAAGACGTAAACGTCAAGGTAAAGGACGTCTTTTAGGCCACCACTATAGTTAAAGTCATATTTTCTCGCTTTTAAATGATATATTTAGAACAAACACGGGCAGTTTGAACAGCGATACAATTTTTACCAGATCGGCCTACGAGCTTAAACACTACCCCTGTTCTGAATTCTGCAACTACGTAAAACAGGTGGAAGAGTTTAAAAGCTCATCAGACCAAATCTAGTAAGAAATTTGCAAGTATATTGCCCACACTGCTCTCAGGAGTAAGCACAGAATACAGCACAGCCCCTCAATTGAATATTTTCGTGCCATGCATACTATTACGGCAGCCAGTCAATTACTTTTTGTCCGATAAAATGACGAAATGGCTAACGGCAGGCAGTAATCTAAATAAATATACAGCAGCAGTTGCACAAGAAGTGGACCTACTGTATATTTCTTATACTGTGGCGTAAACATACCTAGACGTCTTATCCGTTTCTAAAAAACGATATTTTTTGACAGAAGTACGTAGAACGAATCAACAATTTTACGTTTGGAAATTCTCGAAAATGAAAACTCACTCTCATCAGGTTAACTTTCATATTTTCTGGGATTTTACCATGCTGAATGTTTTCCCAATCATTGGCTAAATTTTGTGAAGTATTCTATTTGTTCGACTGAAGCATGGTAAGCAACAGACTACATCATAGATCAGGGGTGGGCAACTTCTCCAGTCGGCAGGCCAGGTTTAGGAAAATGAAGTTATTGGTGGGCCGGATTATTACATGAATAATATTTAATATCTTAATCACAGATATAGACGGATACAATCGGCGGGCCAGTCAAAATCCGTATGTTGCCCACCTCTGTAATAGATCAATCTACATCCATACACCTCGTGCGGGTCCATGAGCATTATTGAAGGAAATCTTGCCCATGTATACGTTACATTTGTTTGAGCTATCGCATAAACTATGCCGCTTAATTCAAAATTTATTCATTTTGTAATTTTAATTGGTAAATATCTCAAAAGAAATGCCATAGCAAAATGAGTCATTTACATTTTGGTAGTGTATCTTTTGCATATTTTGCTTGCAGTTTTTGTTGCAAAGTTCTTCCTGCCAAAACGATAAAAATTTTATAAAACATGATATCAGAACAAAGTTGGAAGCCGTTCTTGCGAGCTCGAATAATAATGCAGAATAGCTGAATAAAACAGCTCGAACGGATGTGACGTATGCGGGATAAAGCTTTTCTTCGAAATTAAAGAGACCCATACAAGAAATATGCCTCTACCACGCAGGTTAAATTAACAACAGACCGTGAAAGATCTGAAATAACCAATGTCGTATACATGTATTCATCCTTGCCTCAATAATCTCTGTCGTTCTTCTTCTTTACATGTCAACTCTATGAACGCAAGAAGAATTTAATGTCCTCAGCGAAAAAACAGATAAAACCAGTAAAATTAACGATCACGTAATGTTACCAGATTCAAGTGTTTCCATCCTAGTTTTCAATGCGTCGATTTCTTTAACTTGCCTCAATAATCTCTGTCGTTCTTCTTCTTTACATGTCAACCCTATGAGCGCAAGAAGAAATTAATTTCCTCAACAAAAAAACAGATAAAACCAGTAAAATTAACGATCACGTATTGTTACCAGATTCAAGTGTTTCCATCCTAGTTTTCAATGCGTCTATATCTTTAACTGTTAGTATTGAATGTTTTTATGCAGTGCGGTGTTGAGCCCAACAATATTGACCTGCTCACCACTGTGTGACTTCATAGCTCAGTGGTCAGAGAACTGCACCGGCACCGCAGAGGTCATGGTTTCGAATCCCGTTGAGTCACCTGATTTTTTCAGGTCCTGAGACGATTGCTTAAATTGTCCAGCTAACTGCGAAGATCGTATCTCATTTAATTTCAAAACACCGCACTGCATAAAAACATTCATATGACATTCATTTTACGAGAAAACATAAGCCCAACAATATTGACCTGCTCACCACTGTGTGACTTCATAGCTCAGTGGTCAGAGCACTGCACCGGCACCGCAGAGGTCATGGGTTCGAATCCCGTTGAGTCACCAGATTTTTTCAGGTCCTGAGACGATTGCTTAAATTGTCCAGCTAACTGCGAAGATCATATCTCATTTAATTTCAAAACACCGCACTGCATAAAAACATTCATATGACATTCATTTCACGAGAAAACATGAGCCCAACAATATTGACGTGCTCACCACTGTGTGACTTCATAGCTCAGTGGTCAGAGCACTGCACCGGCACCGCAGAGGTCATGGGTTCGAATCCCGTTGAGTCACCTGATTTTTTCAGGTCCTGAGACGATTGCTTAAATTGTCCAGCTAAGTGCGAAGATCATATCTCATTTAATATGAAGTATTATTGATGATGTAATGTTACACTATAATATTATTGCATGAAGTATTTATGTTAACTTAGCACATGTTATGTTATACGGGAAGCCATGAAATATTTTTTCTATCAATTACATTTCTATTCTATGTATTCCTGATTTCTGATTGTAATGAATCACTCAAATATCAACATTTTATGGGCCCAGGACGTAAAAGGTCAGTATTTGAGTGAAAAAGCATTGCAATAAAATATATAGTCGAAATTTAAGTCGAAGGTTCGCGAAACTGAACGGCAGTAATTACCGCTCATGGGTTTTCAACATGAAGCTGTATTTGGAAAGTCTGGATCTTTTCGAGCATGCGGAGGGAACAGCTGAATTTCCAAATGAGGATGCTAGTGCTGAAACGCGAAGGAAGTTTAACTCGGCTGCGAAGAAAGCGTGGACATACATCTGTTTGGCCATCGAGCCCGAGCAACAGATCCACGTGCGAGATACGAAAACTGCCAAGGAGGCATGGGATGCAATTAGAAATCAATTCGCACGAGAATCACTTCTTCAGAAGGTGAGACTACGCCAACAGTATTATTCCTGTAAATACCATATTGGAGATAGTGTGCTTGAACACATCAGCCATCTCAAATCGCTGCATGAGCAACTCAAGGAAATGGGAGTCGGCGTGGATGACAAAGAATTAGCTATGACGCTGTTAGCTAGCTTACCTGAGCAATACAAACCATTAATAACAGCCTTAGATGCCATGGGAGAAACAGAGATCTCTTTTGAAAAAGTGAAGAACTTAATTCTGAATGATGTGGACCGTACTAATGATTTGAAGAATACTAAGGAAGATGCATATTCTGCTCATAGAGGAAATTTTATTCGTGGTAGGAATCGTGGTGATAAAAATAATACGCAAAGGAAGAACGATGGAAGCAACAGAAAACCTTTTCAAGGAAAATGTCACAATTGTCAAGAGAAAGGACACTATGCTCGTGACTGTCCAAACAAGAAAACTATGAATGGTGCAAACAGAAACACTCAAGCGCACTGTGCCGAAGGACAAGATGACAAAGTGCATGAGGATGAAGCCTCGATAAGCAATGGATCTGAACTTATTGGAAGATCAGATTAGATCATAGATTCTGGTGCTACCCAGCATATGTCATATGAAAGAGAAGCACTGACGGATTATGCGACATTCAAGCAACCCTCGGTGGTGAATCTAGGTGATAATAGATCAATCTTGGCATATGGAAAAGGTACCTATCATTTGAAAGCAATACTTGATGATCACGTTCAGAACATATCATTACGCAACGTATTGTACTTACCAGAATTGGACAAGAATCTACTATCAGTCTATGCCATGATAAAAGTTGGAGCTACTGTTATGTTTGAAGGTAACAAGTGTAAGATATCTCGTAATTCCAAACTTCTAGCTGTTGGGGACATACATGGAAAATTGTACAAATTAAGGATTGGACATGAACACGTGAACATTGCAAAGGACGCATCAAATTCAAGCTTGCATTTATGGCAATGCAGATTTGGGCACTTGGGAATGAACAATGTTCGTAAATTGTTAAATGGAGATATGGTTAAAGGAATGAGTGATGTAAATGAAAATAGGGACCTTAAGATTTTACGACGCGCTTTTCAACGACGCTACTTGTGCGCGCACGTCCTGGGGCGAGACGCGTCGGCGTGGATTATAGATTTTGACTTAAGTTTTTGACTGCGCGACGTGTGTAGCCTCAGCAACATCATCTTAGAGTATTTAAAAATGTCGTCATTCAGAAATGCAAGAACTGCTATCGCTTTTGCCTATGATGCAGCTTTAATTAATGACGAGGAATTTGTCTTGCTATACGATGCTTGTCGTTCGAAAAATCCTGAAATAATGCACAATGATTATCCATCATTTGATCTGGAAGAAATAAACGAAGTTACCTGTTCTTTGGATTTTCGTTTTAAAAAGCATGAAATACCGCTGCTTGCTGAAGCTTTAGGTTTGCCTTACCGATTCAAGTGCAAGCAAGGAACAGTTTGCACTGGATTGGAGGCTCTTTGCATAGCCCTTCGACGTTTTGCTTATCCTTGCAGATACAGTGACTTAGTACCTCAATTTGGTAGATCTGTGCCTGAACTTAGCATGATTACCAATTCTGTGATAGATTTTATTTATGAAAGGCATGGGGAGAAAATAACACATTGGAATCACGATCTACTGAGTCCCAATAACTTGAAAATATATGCTGAAGCAATTCACCAGAAAGGAGGAGCTTTAGACAGTTGTTTTGGTTTTATTGATGGCACAGTGAGGCCAATTTGCTGTCCAGATGAAATGCAACGTTTACTATACAATGGTCATAAGAGGGTACATGCTATAAAGTTTCAATCGATTACTCTTCCTAATGGAATGATAGCCAATCTCATTCTGCGAGGGATGTATGATGGGGAAACAACATCGGTGTTCTTATCCGAAAGATGACCATTACCGTGCCAACCAACCGTTTGAGCTTGTACACAGTGATGTGTGTGGTCCCATGTCTGTAAACTCTTTTGGTGGATCGCGCTACTACATCACATTCATCGACGACTATTCAAGGTATACGTACATTTACTTCATAAAGAAGAAAAGCTAAGTTTTAGAGAAATTAAAGGAATTTCATAGTCATGTTCACAACATTACTGGCAAACCTATCAAGACCCTACGATCTGATAACGGTGGGGAATATTGCTCACAGCAATTTAAAGATTTCCTGAAGAAAAATGGTATCATCCATCAGTTAAGTGTACCTCATAATCCGGCGCAAAACGGCGTTGCAGAAAGAATGAACCGTACCATTGTTGAATCTGCTCGTTCTATGCTGTCTCATTCACATTTGCCAAATGAATTTTGGGCTGAGGCTGTAAATACGTCCTTATATTTACGTAATCGAAGTCCTACAACATCAGTAAAGGATATGACTCCATACGAATGTCTATATGGAAGAAAACCGGATGTAGCTAATCTACGAGTATTTGGTTGTGTGAGCTATGTACATATTCCAGAGAACCAGCGTAAGAAGTTAGACCCAAAATCCCGGAAATTACTTTTTGTGGGATACCCTGACGGAACAAAGGGGGTACAAGTTTTATGACCCTATTGGATTGAAATTCATCCGTAGCCGTGATGCAATGTTTGTGGAAACACAATTCTATGACTTTGGTGAAGACAAAAGACCATTGACTGCATTTGATCAAAAGAAAGAGCAAAATGTTCCGGTGATTATCAAAGAAACTCCAACGCAAGCAGGTAAAGATTTTGATTTGAATCCAATTATCGAAAACGTCAACATGGATGCAGAAATCAACGATAACGAGCCAGTGGGAGTAACGTACGAGGAGAGATTTATGAATGAAGTACAAAACATTGGTGAAAGAAGACAAAGAAGACCTCCCCAAAGATTTGATGAACAATGCTACATTGCCAATGATCTAACTGCGGAAATCAACGAACCAGCAAACATCAACGAAGCATATTCTGGAGAACATGGACATGACTGGAGAAAAGCAACCGACTCCAAATTTCATTCACTTATCGAGAACGATACTTGGGATCTTGTCCCATTACCAGATAATAAGAATATTGTTGGAAGCCGATGGGTTTTCAAGGTGAAGAGAGACGAAAATGGAGAAATACAGAGATACAAAGCTCGCCTAGTTGCACAAGGCTATTCACAAGCTGAAGGTGTCGACTATCATGAAGTATTTTCACCCGTCATACGAAATACAACTGTTCGATCGTTGTTAGCTTTAGCGAATGCAAAAGACTGGGAAGTTCACCAAATGGATGTTAAAACAGCGTTTTTACAAGGAAATTTGGATGAAGAAATTTATATGCGACAACCTGAAGGTTATATTAGTAAGAAGCATCCTGACTATGTCTGCAAATTGAGAAAAAGCATCTATGGTTTAAAACAGTCAGCCAGATGTTGGAACAACGCCATCGACTCATACCTGAAATCAAAAGGATACAATCAAATGAGCTGTGATCCATGTCTGTACGTGAAATCTATTAAACAGCAAGATGGAAATGTGAATTTCGTGATACTATCTATTCATGTAGATGATATTCTCCTATTTTCCAATTCTACGAAAATGCTGAAGGTGGAGAAGAAAGCCATTGCATCAAAGTTCAAAGTTGAAGATTTAAATGAAGTCAAACATGTCCTTGGTATGCTGATCAAACGAGACAGAAAAAAGGGGAAAATTGACAATTAGTCAATCAAAATATTTGGAAGGAATCTTGAAACGATTCAACATGGAACATTGCAAACCTGTTTCAACACCGTTAGAACCTGGAAAACATTTTCAGAATCTGCCCGAAGAAGAGACCGCAACAAATATTCATGAATATCAAAAACTTATCGGATGTTTGACATACGTGACAACGGCAACTCGACCTGACTTGGCATCTGCTGTAGGTATTCTTTCAAAATTTATGTCAAAGCCAGGAAAGGAGCATTGGCAGGGAGCAAAAAAGAGTGTTGAGATACCTAAAAGGCACAATCAATTATGGTCTTGTTTTTCAAAGCAAAGATTCAACATGCGAAGTGGTTGGATATTCAGATGCTGATTGGGCAAGTGATGTAAATACAAGAAGATCTACATCAGGATACGTGTTCCAGATAAACAAATCAACCGTCAGCTGGAGCAGCAAGCGACAATCTTGTGTTGCAAGATCTTCGACTGAAGCTGAGTATGTTGCACTAAGTTATGCAACACAAGAAATCATATGGTTACGACGTTTACTAGCGGATATTGGAATAAATCAAGATCAACCATCTATACTGAACGAAGATAACCAAGGGCAATTGAACTTTCGAGGAATCCACGATTTCACAATCGCACTAAACATATTGACGTTGCGTATCATTTTGTTAGAGAAAAGGTCAACGATAATTCCATTATTGTTCAATACTGTAGTACAGATCAGATGTTAGCGGATGTTATGACGAAAAGTTTACCAAAGCAAACATTCCAAAACTTTCGAGACATGTTAGGTGTCAAAGAAATTTTAGTTTAAGAATTCGTAATTCTTAAAGAACATTTATAGTGCACATTAAGTGGGAGTGTTAGCAATATGAAGTATTATTGATGATGTAATGTTACACTATAATATTATTGCATGAAGTATTTATGTTATCTTAGCACATGTTATGTTATACGGGAAGCCATGAAATATTTTTTCTATCAATTACATTTCTATTCTATGTATTCCTGATTTCTGATTGTAATGAATCACTCAAATATCAACATTAACTTCCCTCAATAATCTCTGTCGTTCTTCTTCTTTACATGTCAACTCTACGAACGCAAGAAGAATTTAATGTCCTCAGCAAAAAAACAGATAAAACCAGTAAAATTAACGATCACGTAATGTTACCAGATTCAAGTGTTTCCATCCTAGTTTTAATGCGTCGATTTCTTTAACTTGTCTCAATAATCTCTGTCGTTCTTCTTTACATGTCAACCCTATGAGCGCAAGAAGAATTTAATGTCCTCAACAAAAAAACAGATAAAACCAGTAAAATTAACGATCAGGTATTGTTACCAGATTCAAGTGTTTCCATCCTAGTTTTCAATGCGTCGATATCTTTAACATATTCTGTCCCTTCCTGAACAATGTTAGCCAACGTCAAGATCATATTATAAATAATATAAAAAACCTTGTAAGTCGGGCGCAAGGTCAATATCCTTCACAGTATACTGGTCGTCTTCAAACTTTACATTTAAGCGAAGACTTCGGTCAAGAAATGTAAAATTCAACTCTGTTTCACGACACGTCTCTAGCATCCATTCTTGACTGCTACAATCAAGAGCGACACTTATCACGTGTCATCAACCAACGATATTACTGGTGTTGTTACAACAAATGGCTGTAGAACTTTCGAGGTCCGAATAATCAATAACCTTACCCTGTTTGCGCTGGAAGAAGGTTTTCGATTTCTTGAACGCGTTCCAGGCGCCTTTTCCCAATCATTGGCTAAATCATTGTTTTCCCAATCATTGGCTAAATTTTTGTGAAGTATTCTATTTGTTCGACTGAAGCATGGTAAGCAACAGACTACATCATAGATCAGGGGTGGGCAACTTCTCCAGTCGGCAGGCCAGGTGGGAAATGGAAAATGAAGTTATTGGTGGGCCGGATTATTACATGAATAATATTTATTATCTTAATCACAGATATAGACGGATACAATCGGCGGGCCACTCAAAATCCCTTCAGGAGTCGGACCCGGCCCGCGTGCCGTATGTTGCTCACCTCTGTAATAGATCAATCTACATCCATACAACTCGTGTGGGTCCATGAGCATTATTGAAGGAAATCTTGCCCCTGTATACGTTACATTTGTTTGAGCTATCGCATAAATTATGCCGCTTAATTCAAAATTTATTCATTTTGTAATTTTAATTGGTAAATATCTCAAAAGAAATGCCATAGCAAAATGAGTCATTTACATTTTGGTAGTGTATCTTTTGCATATTTTGCTTGCAGTTTTTGTTGTAAAGTTCTTCCTGCCAAAACGATAAAAATTTTATAAAACATGATATCAGAACAAAGTTGGAAGCCATTCTTGCGAGCTCGAATAATGCAGAATAGCTGAATAAAACAGCTCGAACGGATGTGACGTATGCGGGATAAAGCTTTTCTTCGAAATTAAAGAGACCCATACAAGAAATATGCCT